TCAATAGAGCTTTGACTCTCAGTCAGCCTGGCTACAGTGCTGAAAAGAAACCTGGGGTTGTTCTTGTTTTCTTCTATTAATGCTGAGTAATAGTTTGCTCTGGCATTGCGGAGGCCCCTCTTATAAGTTTTGAGACTGTCTGTCCAGATTAAACGAGATTCTTCCAGTTTGGTTAATCGCCAATTCCTTTCAAATTTTCGCGATATTTGTTTTAACCTACGGGTTTGAGAGTTATACCAAGGAGCAAACTTTCTTTGCTTTGTTAACTTCTTTTTAAGAGGAGCTACAGAGTCGAGCGTTGTTCGCAGCGAGCCTACGGCGCTATCAACAAAATGATCAATTTGGGAGAGGTTAAAGTCGGCACGGGAAACCTCTGTTACTGAAGGTATTGGTATTGAATTTAACGACGAAGTAATCTTTTCCTTAAATTTTGTGACAGCACTATCTGATAAACATCTAGTATAGTAACTGTTGCTGAGTGGCGTGTAATCGAGTAAAAAGAAATCAAAAGTAATCAGATAATGATCTGATAGCAAGGGATTCTGTGGAAAGACTTTTAGGTTATCAATTTCAATTCCATACGTCAGAACTAGATCGAGGGTATGGTTAAAACAGTGAGTGGGTTCATGTACACCCTGACTGAAGCCAATGGAGTCTATTAATGAGATAAACGCGGTAGCCAGGGAGTCATTATCAACGTCGACATGAATGTTAAAATCGCCTACAATAATAACTTTATCTGATTTAAGAACTAAACTGGATAAAAACTCTGAGAATTCAGATACAAATTCAGAATACGGGCCAGGAGCACGGTACACTATAACAAATAAAAGTGGCTGCGAGGTTTTCCAGGTCGGATGTAAAACACTAAGAACGAGGCTTTCAAATGAATTATAATCTAGTTTAGGTTTAGGGCTGATTAACAGACTAGAGTTAAAAATGGCTGCAACTCCCCCTCCTCGGCCGCTGCCTCGAGGAATGTGGGTATTATTATGACTGGGAGGAGTGGACTCATTTAGACTAACATATTCATCTTGACACAGCCAGGTTTCAGTGAGACTGAGTAAATCAATATGATTATCTGATATTAATTCGTTTACTAACACTGCTTTAGACGATAGAGACCTGATATTTAACAGTCCGCATTTAATTCTCCTGTTTTGTCTTTCTGTCACAGAAGAGGTTTTAATTTTTATGAGGTTGTTATGCACAACTCCTCTTTGTTTAATTTTAGATTCATTCATTCATAGATTTATTCAGATGCGAATAAATATATATGCCTGGTTGTGTCTTAATGACATCAGGCTGGGCGTCAGATCCTTAGGTTTTCTTTTCACCACCACAACTGCTCAGAGGACAGGAAGTGAAGGTGATGCACTTCCTGCTACGTCTTTTTCTGCCAGCCCTTAAGGTTGTTTTGGCCTCTGGATCAGGACCCGTTTCTGTGTGTGTGTGTTTGTGTGTGTGTGTGTGTGTTTGTGTCCCAGTATTGGCTTGGAAATAATGTTCCCTCCATTGGCTTCACTTGGTTTCACAGGGAAATAGACACACACACATTACAGTGGCACGTAGGCTTCGAGTTGCCTAGCAACCAGGCGGTAAAGGTTATTATTCAGGCAACTTCTGTAGGTGTGTGTGTGTGTGTGTGAACATGGAGCAGCGACAGCGTATGTGTGTGCAGGTGTGTGTCCGTGTTTGCAGACGTTTAGTGACAGAGACAGGGATTATGTGTGAGGAATTGTTAAATTATACTCGCATCCAATCTGTTTACTCTTTTCTCAGTGTGTGTGTGTGTGTGGTCCAGAGCTTGGTGCGTCTAATGTCTGGGCTCTCGTTGATGGCTCACAGTGATGTGTGCCCCGTGTTAACCCACTTCCGGGTTTCCATGGTAACAGTGGGACAGTGGCCCGGGGCAGTCAGAGGAAGCCAGACACACAACACAACTCATTGCACATACTCTAACTAGCCGGCGGCCTGACTTCTATGACGCTCTCTCTCTTTCTCTGTATCCTTCTTCATCTGTCTCTCAGATTTTCCATCCACGTCCCATCATTCCTTTGCATAAGCTCATCCTTTGTTTCCGCTACTCTCTCTGTGAAATCTGATGCTTACATTGTGCTTCAATAAGTAGAGATTAATTAGAAGTGTATAACAATTAATTGAGGGCGGCAGTGTAAAAAGACTAGCGATTAGGCCCCACTGAAATGAAGCATCTTCATTAAGCACAGGCCCATGTGAAGACAGGAGATAGCGCAGGACTCCCCAGAGTCTGGAAGCTGGTGTTGGTGAAGTAAAACCTGCAGGTGGATGATGGAAACTCGCAGACAGATTGGTTTGGCAGAGAGAACACTGATCAGAAATGATGATATCAACATTTGTGAATCAAAGGCAAAAGACAAGAGAAAAGATTTCCCTGCAAGTGTGTGTCCTGCAGTGTTTGGAAGCCAGAGAGCAAAGCCATACTTCTGAACACTGGATTAGGCACACAGCATTGCATTTTGACATTCAGAATATTATTCAGCGGTCATGAATATTGACTCGTCTATTTTTGTGAACAATGTTTACTGATCACAGACACACTGCGAGAGACCGGCAAATGACAACGTTGCTCTACTTCAGTTTGTTCGACAAAGTACACAAGCCATCATCAGCCTGTTTTCACAACCGTGACTCATTGTAGTTACATATTTCTTAGGGGCCAATATTTATTCTTTTCTGATTTCAGAGTGTACACAAAACATGGGGCTGGTCACAAGTGTGGTAGGAATGAACGTTTGAATGATGTACTTTCTTAGGTCCATTAGGAATGTTCACTATTGTGTAATGTGTGGTGGTGGTGATGGTTTGTCAGTGTGTGTGGTGTGTGGGCTTCGGTACCTGACGGAGATGAGGCCAGTGCGCTCTAAGGTTTAACTGATGAGTACACAGAAAACAAAATCATCCCTCATCCCTGTGTCCCTGTTCAATTACAGCTACTCTCATGGATACACTGTTGTTAGGTAACTACAGTAGCTTTATTTAAACTGGGCCAAGAAACCCCATCACAACTTTAAAGTTAAATTATATGTGGTCAAATTAGCACAACATAATATGAAAATGGTGTATCATTGCGGACACAGGTCTGTGGTGGAACGGGAGGCTATACTGTTAAAAGTCACTGCATCAATGGATTCTTCACCTGAAATCAGAAATAACTCAGGCTTTGCCAACTGTATTTGAATATTTCATTGTCATAACTTGTGAATTACATAATACACGAAGCAAATGATAAGACAACAGGGCAGTGGCGCCACCCTGATAGAATCATAGGCCCTCCAGCAAAAATAATTTTGGTGTGTTATGTGTTTGGTGTTTTTGAACTTGACTAGGCTTGTTCCTAGTAAATGTTACTTGCAATCAATGAACTCCTTTTATTTAGATATTTTTATTTGTCTTTTAAAGGAAAAAGAACAATGAACCACCTAACACACTTATGTACAGATGTAGCGGTACGAGGGCTGTACTTGACTCAGCATTAGGTCAGTGGAATCAGATTCGGCCGTTTAATTCAAATATTCGATGATTCATTTTTTTCTATATAAAACCTTAAAGTTTGAATGGACTCAGTGGGTCATACAGTGTTACAACATTATTTGCCGACACTAAATAACCAATAAAAGCCAGAGACTGTGTCGTATTACGTATCTGTGAGCTGCAAATTGACCACTTCCGAGCAAAAGTGTTCAGATAGTGTTGTTTCAGAGGGTTTTGGTGCAAAGCCTCTCTTCCTCCAGGCCACTCCAGGCTGCTTGACTTGAAGCAATCTCAGTCAACTGAGGGGTCTCCAACTGATGACTTTCAAGGGGCAGCCCGAAGCGGAGCATCAGATAATTTGTAATATTCAACCGTAAAATAAGAAACCAAAGTATATCAGTGTGTGATTCCTTGACTGCCATACTGACCAGCTCCTCCACGATGTTGTGATTGCAACCATTAATGCAAATTTAGCCAATCCCTGTGAATTCAGCTTATCAGTCAGCCGCTCCTTGCTTAAAGGGTGTAAGGACCAAGTAAAGTTTTTTCAGGGTTGGTGTGAGTTAGTTGGGACCGTATTATGACATGGTCCGATGTTGGTTGCTGCTGTTGTGTTAGCTCGTGCTAACCATATAGAGAGCAGGAGGAGAGCGACTCATGCTTCGTATGGCTACAACAGCTGAATGTTGGCAATGATTGTCAGCGATCAGCTGTTGGAAACATGGAATGCTCACAATAATCGTCTCTGGATCTAGAGCAGCATCGCACCTATTTTTGCATTTTTTTTTTTTACCCACAATTGCATTGCCAAAAAAATGAGTATAAACGTCCCAACATGCATCACAAACTTTTTGAAAAGCGGCCGTGAAATCAGTCATTTCAGTCCCCAACAAGGGGCAAAATCCTGGAAAGACTGATTTTGTTTTTAACTAGACATGTACTTCAACACCATGATAGTATTTCTGAAATTTCGTCATGGCTTTTGGCTTCGGTGCACCACCCTAAGATTTTCATTGGCCCCACCTTGCCACTCCATGAAAAATTTCTGGGGCCTCCACTGTGAGGTTGTTGCTACTTTAGCTCAGTGTTGCTATGAGCCAAATGCTAAAAGCATGCCAATATGCTCACAATAACTCTTGTACCGTTGGCACTAGAGGGACAATCAGAGGGTTATCAAAGTGAGCAGAGTTCATCCTCTGGAGATCATAAATATTGCAACAACATTTCATGGTAATCCATCCAATAGCTGAGATGTTTCAGTCTGCACAGTGATAGACTGAGTGACTGACCTTGCCATTCATTAAGCTACACTGCTAGCATGGCTGTCAATAAAAATACTATTTTGGATGGTACTTGCATACAATTACATCTACACAAGACAGCATGGATGATTTTGTTATCTGTGTTGAGACAAGTTTGCCAAGGTATGATTAAGTACAAAACATCGTTCTCTAACCTGCTACAGTTGTGTGTATTTTCGGCTCTAGCCATGGAGTTTCATGAGAAGCTGCAGAGTCTGGCAGCGAAGGAGGGGCTGAGGGGTCGCAAGGTCAGTCGGGCGCTGGAGAGTTTCAGCTGGAACATCACCATCCTTAAGGTCAGCAACACACACTCACTCATACACTCACAAAAACCCAAACAGCCCCAGGAGAAGACCATTAGAACATGTTTTGGCCTCTAGCTAGTTGCTCATCTTTTTCAACCTCCCTCCCTCCCTCCACTTCTACCCTCTGTCCTCATCTCTCCTTGCCGCCCTGTACTTCCTCGTGTCTCTCCTGATTTCCCCTGTTTTCTCTCTCTCAGGGTCAGGCTGACCTGCTGAAGCATGCCAAGGCTGAAGTCCAGGAGAACATGAAGCAGGTCCATGACGCTGCTTTGACTGGAAACCTCACCAAAGAGAGTCTAGGGATAAGAAGGGTCCGCTCTCAAACACGACGAAGCCAGGATGACAAACCCAATACGAGTGCTAGAGGACCCTCGGCATAGCAAGCAAATGAAAGAGGACATGACCAAATTGCCATCGTAGCTGCTGTGACAAACCCTTTCCATGTTATTAAAAGTTCCAAGGTCTTACTCCGCCTTAGTGTCAGACTTTCACAATGCTATGGGAGAGATATAGCGAGTACTGTGTTTTTAAAAGAGAAGAACAGAAGAGTTGATGAATGTACAAGTCTTCAAAATGCAGCCATTGTCTACCCACCTCTCGTGGATGACACTCGAGAGCCGCCGAAGTGCAGGAGCGCTGCTGAAAGGAGACGAGATAAATGACATCGGGGGGATGAATGTAGTTAGATGTGAAGCCAAGGTTGAGTTGTTTGTGCTGCATTAAACTGTAAATACAACAAATGTCTATCAACCTCTCCTTATGTGCAATGTGTCTGGAAGAGGGAGGAAAAAAATTGTCATTTTTCTAGCACAGTGTGCGATGACTCAAAGCTCAGCCAAAAGACGTTTCAGATCTTTTGAAAACTTTTTGAAAAACTGCCACCTCCACATGTTAGCAGCTTGTGCTTTACGCTATCGTCTAGCAATATCGAGCAAGGATTCAGACACAGATCACACGTTCTTGATTATAGAAATGGGAGATTAGCAGGAATCTGTGGATGTTTATGGTATTGTAACATTATATCTCTTGGACCAGCGCAGCCCCTTTATATCACTCTTCACCTTATCTCCATTAAAGGGACAGTTCACCCTCAAATCAGAAAACCTGCAGTGCTATTTGTCGATCTAGATTGCTCTGGTGTGAGTTGCCGATTGTTGGAGATATCGGCCGTAGAGATGTCTGCCTTCTCTCCAGTATAATGGAACTAGATGGCACTTGGCTTGTCGTGCTCAAAGGGCCTCAAAAATACATTCGACTCAGCAGCAATGTCTCTTTCCAGAAGTTACCCAAGATAATCCACAGACCTAACTACACCAGCCAACCATATCACTGTGCAGAAGGTAGAGTGCATCTACTCATGAATAAGAGGCTCATGCTTGTGACAGCAGGAGATGAAAACATTAATGGTGTCCCCCTTGGCTGAGCTGTAATGTTAGTTAGCTCAGTGGTGCTAGGTGAGCTAGCAGTAGATGCACGCTTCCTTCTGCACGGTGATACGGATAACAGGTGTGGTTTGTCAGACAAGAAGGAAGGTAACCAGGTCATGATTTCTGTAAAGAGACATTGCTTTTTCAAATGTATTTTTAGGCGCTTTAAGCACCACAAGCCAAGTGCCATCTAGTTCTATTACACTGAAGAATAGGCAGACATCTCTACAGCTGATATCTCCAACAATCTGCAGCTCACACCAAAACAATCTAGAATAATAAACAGCACTACAGGTAAGAGGAAAAATATGTTAATTTGATGTTGGGGTGAACTGCCCCTTTAAGCATTTGTAGGTCCTGGATTACTACTTCTCATCCAATCACCTTGAGGTCCTTTGTCTTGCCACGAAACCCCCATTTTACCCTCTAAATATTGTTGTCTCACATACAGTATTCTATATTTTTGTATTTTCCTGAAGCCCTTGTGCTGATTACACCACTGTTACCCATCATAAAGATCAACTCCAGACCTGTAAATGTCTGCCTCTAGGGAACAAATACTGTTATGTTAAAAGTGCTTACTTTGTGTGCAAAACACTGTACAGTATTTTACTATGTAATTCCGATCCTTTTGCTGTAAAGAATATTTTACATAAGTTATTGATCCTGAATGAAACATTCCAGTTATCAGTGCAGTGGATGAGGCTCGACCTGTTCGGCTCTGTAAAAGGTTGCAGTTCATGATTACCTTTCTTCACAGTCGGGATGGAAATAAACTAGTTTTTAAATTACTGATGGCTGCGTGTCTGTTACTGCTTTGTCTCTGATGAGCATCCATTCATACTGACACAAGCCAATTATACAGTTGGGGAACAGACCTATGGTGTGGATAAAAGCCTCTAATCAGCCCCCATTTAAAGCTTCACTGCCCATCAGGGTTTAGGGATCATAGTTTAAATCAAATCAGAATTTATGTATGTATGTTAGACTGAACATAGATTTCTTAAACTTTTGAGAAAACAACCTCAGCATAGTCAGTTTTGTGGCTGTTCTGAGGCTTTAAATCGTATCATGTGATCTTCATCAGCAGATGGAGCTTGCCGAGTAGTTGGGGCAGCAGCTCTCCCTTCTGTCCTGGCTTTCCATGTTTTTCAGGGAGTCCCACAGGGCCTTGAAGTCCAGGTGGTCCTGGTTATCCTATGAAGGCCACACTAGCAGCTCCAAGGATTGCAATATCGGTCAGTCCATTGCTTTGGTCCAGACTGAAATATCTCAGCAACTATCAGATGGATTGACATGCAATTTAGTGCAGCCATTCATGGTCCACAGAGGAGCAACCTTCCTTTCTTCTAGCGCCACTATGAGGTTCACATTTGAATGCCACTGCAACAATTTCCTCAAAATTTGCTACAGAAATGTATCTTCCCCTCACAATGAGTTATAATAACTTCCTCTAGTGCTATCCTCAGTTCAGTTCCTTGGTTTATGACTTAACATCTGCAACTAATGACAGTCCCAGCAGCCTCAAGCCTTTTGGTTTAGTGCCAATTAGCTAGCATGCTAACTACAGGAGCTTACTGTGCCTTGGTACAGGCTCACAGAATGGTCGGCATGGCTGTAGACATATTTTATAACAACTGGCAAACGTCCTCTGCTGATGAAGACCAGGACTGTTTTCTAAAATGCTATTTCCAAGGTCAAAAGTGAAATTTGAACCTCAGTACCTTCGGTATTTTTTTTTTGACAATGGTATTATCTCTGAAAAATGTAATATACAGCACCAACAGTTAGTCCTGATACTCACACAAAACACTCACAGAAGTCTACATCAACATCTCAAAAGCATGAACAGCATTCCCTAACAGGCACAATAACTTCAGTGTGTAGCAAGAGCAATGTAGTTTTATTGGTCTTGAGTTAATTATGCTGAATGGGCAGCTAGAGGGACATTCTTTGTGTGTGCTGCTATACATGATTTCCACAGGACACAAGAACTCAGTTGTAATGTGAGAAATGAAAATAATCACATTAAAATGTCCGTATTGGAATCAATTAAAAACAAAACAAAAGGGGGAACAAAATTACTCCATAATTTAATAATTTTCATTCAGTAAACTAAACTAAGGGTTAAAAATATTTTCTTAAAAACAAAAACAAGAATGCTAACAAAGAGTAAAGATCACAGAGTCAGGTTTTGTTTGGTTGAGAGAAGAATAATGGTCAGAGGCACTGGTTTATGAGGGTGAGAAAGCTGCCCTCCGTAACTGGCAGGAGGACGTCATGCGTCTTTCCGTTGAGTATCAGAGAAGAGAGCTTCCTCTGTAAGGACATAGACATACAGACACAACACAAGCAGAGGTATGGCCAGATCTCCACATTCAGAAGAATCAAGAGTATCACACTCCTGATCATTACAGTAAGTCCAAGAGGAGGGAGTCCTCCCCTAGAAAGAAATAGCAGTTTGAGGTCCAACTCTTCAGAGTAATCATGTAGTGACAGGGTAAGCAGTTCAATGGCACCCTCTCTCTGTAGAGCAGAGTGCTGCAATTAAATATCATGAGTGACGGGGACACAACGTAATGAGGAGACAGGCATTAGGGTAAATGAGAGAGCCTACAGCATCAGCTTAGACAGGACTGAGGTGGCACAGATGACAGGTAAAGAGACAGAGTATAAGGTATTTGTGACTGGAAGTGTCACAGTCCACATGTGCAATTTTTTTTAGCTGACAGCAGCTCCGGCGGTGCGCCACCAAAAACTGCAGATTCCACCCTCTGATCCTAAGTCAGTTTATTTTTTATCACATCCTCGGTATGGGATGCGATAAAGGTATAAGAGGAGGAGAAGTAGGGGCGATTTGCTCGTTCACAGGTCATTCGGGTTGACGATGGTGAAGTCAGAGTCCTTGCTGTGGGTGGAGCCCTCGTCTGGACTGGAGGAGCCCGAGGTGATGCCGGCCATCAGGGGGTCGCTGAAGGTTCCTGCCGCGCCCTCAGGCTCCATTCGCACCAAGCCGCGCCCTCGCCTGATCGGTGGGGTGCGCTCGGCTGCGGCTCTTCCTTCTCCTCCTCCTCCTCCTTCAGCAGCCGGCAGGTCTCCGTCCTGGCACACAAGGATGTAGTCATCCCAGTTCTTACCCTCGGAGCCGAGTGAAGACGCCACCTGTACACGAGAGAAGGTGGGGGTCATACCATTTTCTTGTGTTAGCAAAGATTCTGTACTCTTACTTTAAAATGACCTACCCTGCCTGATGGGATAGTTTGGATCTTTGGAAGTGGCGTTGTATGATCCACCTGAAAACAAATCACTATCAGTGTAAGTGTACGCCGTTTTTAGAATAGTTTTGCTGATGTCAGACAGCACTTTCCAACAGGCAACTGAACTGAAACTCATCTATGTTATGCTCAAAGCCACCAGACTCCTTTGAGAAAAACAGTAATTTTACGTCGCAGAACACAGGAGCTGCCGGTCTACCACTGCCTCCATTTGTTTGTTTGTGTTATTGTAGGACTTTACTGAATCCAAACTAACTCTTAAAAAGACTAAAGTCATGCAATAACACAAACAAACTAACCAATCAAGTTAGCGGTAGACCAGCAACTCTTGTGTTCAGCAAGGTGAAATTACTATTTTTGTCAGTGGATTTTGGCATTAAAGAGAGCATAGATTCATTTCAGTTTTAGCTCAATTCCCAGACAGAAAGGGCTGTCTGATGTCAAGGTGAAGCAGTGAAAATATTCTAAATATACTGTACACTTAAACTGATGTTGATTTTTTTAGATGGGCCTTTTATTTCTAAGTGGCTTGAATATGTTTTGCTGCTGCCCCCGTCCACAATAGTGCATTGATTAGCTTCTGAGGCAGTACTCTTGTCTGCTTCTCCAAAATGTGGGCGCGTCATACCTCATACAACCACACTTCAGAGAATACAAACTATCCCTTTAATCAGTGCAGTGAGTGGGAGTAGAAGGTGTGTACAAAAACCAAGGCTGTAAAACCCCTTTTGCTGCTTGTTTGGCCCCAAAGCTCGATGTATTCAAATGCAGCAAACCTCAGACTTCAGGGAAAATGTGTATTTTCATTATACAGTTGCTGTATAATGCAGCATAATTCTGGATTTGATTCATTCCTAATGGGATAGCTTTAGCGGCCTAATCCTGCAAAGACTACAATTTGGGTAAAAATTGGATCATTTTTGGATACAGGGTACAGTTTGTTGGCATGGAAATGATCGGATTTAAAGACACTGAACACTGGATCAAGAGGTCAAACCATAAAACCAAACAACTGAGAAATAATCCCATCAGAGATGAGTGTTGTAGTTAATACTGATACAGGTGCAGAGCTCTAATTCTAGCAGCCTAAAGAGGACTGACGGACAATTTACCTGTTGCTCAGGTGGGGTCATCGCCTGCTCCTCCTCTTCCTCCTTCTCATCAGTGCTGACACTCCCGTCCATATCGGAGTCTCGGATCTGCCTGCTGCTTCCTTCTTGTTGGTGGTCACCTTGGTGACTGTTGGCGCTCAGAGCAGTTTCAGCAACCGCTGTGGATGTATAGTGATCATCAGCGATGGAGATCTCCTCATTCTCCTCGGCCTCCAGCTGGCTTTGGTTGAAACGCAGCGCCCCCTTGAGGATGTCTTTGATCTGAAAGGATCCGGGACATCACGTCAGTGTTATAGACACAAACAGTGAAAACACACACATGTAAACAGAATATAATTACAAAAACACATCACAAACCTAATGTGCACTTGCTCTGACTCACTTGTTTTAGTCCAGCTAGTGACACCAGGACCTCATCCTCTTTCTCCAGGTTTTCTTGGAGAATCACTTCCTGGATTTTACCTGAGGAGACACAATAAGCCATCACTCACTGAGCTACACAACCTGCCACAACATTCCCGAAGCAGCACTAAATGAATTATGAATGAATAACTGTAACAAATAGGAGCCGCGTGTTTTGATACAGAGAGCTGTGTCCCAAAAATCCCCTAATTGCCACCTAGTGCACTATATTCTCTCAAAGCAGTGCAGTGCTCAAAGCATGTCAACTAATTTATTACTTAAAAATAATGTGCTCCAGAACCACGGACAGAAACACCAAAATAGATCAATAAATATCTATAAAAGCACAAAAGAAAACAATAAAAAACAAAAGTAATCTCTCTCAATCACCACTTGTGACACACTAGAACTGTGTGGTGGTGTCGACACCCTGCCCTCCGCCTATATATTTCTCTAATTTTGCTGTGGTCGGCACATTTCTGGGCAGTCAATGACGCCAGTCAATAACAGCGCCCAGGTGAGATCATGACTTTATAAAAAGGTAGTGACCAAGTGTAGCAGTACACATCCAAGAGGACGCCACGAAAATCCTGGATACACAACTAAAAAAAAATGCAACTACAGGCAAATGCCAACAGGACAAAGATTGTTCCAAAAGCAGAGTAAATCTGGGGCTGACTTTCACTCTCATTTTCGCTGACAAGCACTGAAGGAGACGATAAAGAACGATTTGAACAAATGTTTTAGATGGTAAAAAAGAACATGGAGCTTTGACCATCTGTTGATCGTGTACATTTGTAGTTGCTGTACTCACAGATGTGAGTGTTCATCATCTTGGCACAGTATTTGCTCATAGCCTCAAGGTCATTGATCTGGCCCTGAAGGAATGACACCTGGGCCTCCAGGTCCTCGTCCTGTTGATAACACACACACACACACACACACACACACACACACACACACACACACACACACACACACACAGACAGGTCAGAAAGAGGCAATAACAGCAAGGGGGGACAAAGAAGCTTGGTAAGGAGAGCGACAAGAAACCCACAGAGGAGGAGGGATTGGGGTTGAAACTGTGAGAGACGATGAAAAAGTGAGACAAACACAGAATAAGGCAAAGACATGCAGACAGTCTGTCAGCAGGTGGAACAGCTCACCGACTCTTTCTTGCCCATGGTCTTGCTGTGGGAGCGAGAGCGAGTGATGTTGAAGAAAGACTCCTTCTTGGTGGCGGAGAGAGGCGGAGATGAAGTGCTGACATCGCTCCCTCGGGAGGGGGGAAGAGGCGGGGAGGCAGTGGATTGAGCTCGTCCACCGGAGAGGCTTTCTATGCTGGGAGAGGAGCTGACCGTCCTGGAGCTTTGGCCTGAGGACGGGACAGAAGGACGGCGGACAGAAGACAAAATATTAACACAATAGGAATGTGCACAACTTATGTTGCATCTTAGAATCTTACATATTTTTACGACACCATAATACTGCTCAGGCATGGACGTTCACTCCCGACCTTGAGATCAGTATGCCTCATAAAGAATTTAAGCTCAAGGTCCACCAATTAGCTCTCGTGATCCTCCACTGATGGAGATAATGAGATGTGGTTAAAACCTTGAAAAAATGACTAAGTGGACTCTGACTTCACATGTTTTATTTTATCACATAATACTGCTCTTTAGGAGGTTTAAAAGAAGATGCACAATAAAAGTTAAGTAAAAATAATGAGACATTCTGGGTCTTTAATACCTAAATTAAGTAGTAGTAAAAGGGTACAAGAATATGAAGCCTTGAGCATGCAAGAACTGGAATAATTATAGAACTTTTATATTATAATTAATAAATTGTTAAATATAAAAAAGCAGGAATAAATGAATTATTACATTTGCATTTAAATGATGCATTAATAACTGAATTTTAAAATACAATAATTAAGTAATTTAACTTTTTAAATGTACTTTTTCAAACTACATTTACACTTTGTTTTTCCTCAGTCTCCTGCTTTCACATGTGCCGTTTTGGTTTTATGATCGCTTTAATTAAAAACAAACAAACAAACAAACAAACAAACACACAAGCAAAAAAAAAAAATCAGTTTTAAATTTAAATCTGTGTAAGCAGAGCATCAACAGGAGCTCTGATTGGCCAGATCGTTTATGTTGGCGGACGTCATTGTGTTGAGTTAAACCAGTCAGAGGTACTGTTGCTGCTCTGTGAATGATGCGTATTATTTAATCATTTAAATGCAAATTTATTCTATTTATTATTATTATTATTATTATTATTATTATTATTTTTAACATTTATCTATTGTTTCTGATTAGAAATTATTCAAAGGCTCCACAGAAGAAGGACAAAAGGGAGCCATGTTTCTTTGCATTTGTCTTCGCAAGGACAAAGAAAACAGGCAAACTTGCAAACACATGACACACAGGAACATTTACAGAAAAAAAGAGCACACAGACACACACACACACACACATGACAAGCACATGGTCAAAGCAATGCTGACAGCAGATGCCACAATCCATCCATGACATTCATGCCATCACTTTGATTTTTCCCTGATGTGGCAAGCTGTGATCTCCCTCTGCTGGAAACAATCTGCTACTACATGCTCTGGACACTGATGTCCGTCTACTGTAAAGCGAACCTCACCAGCTGCTAATCAAGCAGCAGGAAGAGTGACTGTCAAACTACGTGTGCAGACATGCAACGGCAGCAACACAAGCACGGACGAACAGCGGGGCATGTCACACAAGCGGTTGCCATGGTAGCAGTTACCTTGTGTGTCAGTGTGAGTCTGGGCTGGGAGAGCGACCTGAGACACTCCACCTGAAACTACATCTAACAGACAGGAGAGTCATAGCTGACGCTGCCACACCCACACCAACCAATGAAAATCTGCACTGGTGTTAATCTGCACATGCAGCTAATTCACCTGTTACAGTACAGCCAGCACAAATGCAAGTGTGTGTGTGTGTGTGTGTGCTCTGCTGCTCACCTTTGCTGAGGTGGACAGGCATGCTCTCGGACTTGAGCAGGCGGTAGTGCTGAGTCTGGGCGTGGCTCTGGGTCTGGAGTGGGGCGGGGCCTGGTGGGGGCTCGGCTAGAGGGTGAGGCAGGGTGGGCGCTGGCGCCGATGCAGGGGAGGTTGAGGAGGACGAGGAGGACGAGGAGTGTACCTCGCTGTTGATTGGTGAGATACCACCGGACCCACTCGATATTGCCGGCGCGATGAGCTTCCTGCCAAAGCTCAGCAGGCTGCTGGAGACCTTGTTGATGTTGAGGGGGGCTGTTTTTGTAGAACCAGAACTGGAAAGACAAAAAGTGCATTAGGGTGAGAGAGGAAAATCAAAATACCTGTGGTTTTTCAAGTTTAAGACCTTTATCTACAAATAAATAGTTGTCGCTGCCTTCCTTTTCCAAACCACACTGCAAGTGTTCAGATTTTTTTCCTGCCTTCCAGGCACGATTTCCATTTTATGTCTGTAAAGGATAACGCTCAACTTGCAGAGACTTGAAAACTGTGTGAATCATTTCCATCACAATGAACAATTCAAGCACCTACACTTTTTTGGGTAAAGTTGTATCGCAACGAAATTGCAAGCGCATGCCATTAACAGTGCATTAATAGGCTCCTCTTCTTGGCACTCTCAAGTTGTGAGTGTCAGAGCACTGTGTTCTTGTGTGTGCGCGAACAAGACAAGGTTTCAAAGCAGCTCCTGTTTTCTGTACACAACAACTTTGACTTAAAAAATAAAGACCTCAAAGTGTTCACTATGGTGATCTTGTGCAAATTCAGCGATGAAGTGGAAGCCAGTTTAAAAGTGGGTGGTAAGAAATGGTGTGTTTTTTCATCAACAAAGTAATGAATGTTAAAATCTGCTGTGGATTCAAGAAAAAAGCCACCTCCGTTCTCTGAAGGATGAAACAACAAACTTTTTACAACCACTTTAACGTCGGGAAGGGAATGAGTGTTTCAAACCCCAAGTGAAGCTCTAAGTATTTTCAGATAAAAGTGGATGATTTAAAAAGGTACACTGACTTCTGATCTTTGAGAGAGGAACAGTTGTGTGTGTTTTACCGTGACTTGTTCATCAGGTCGGCTCCCCTTGTTTTGTAGTAATCCAGATTCTGCTGAAACTGGTAGTTGACAGGACGTGGATAGTTCTACAAGAAGACGGAGAGAACAAAAACATTTTTTGTCTGTTGTGCGTGATAATTGAAGTCAACACGTAAACATGAAAGTGGTGCATTTCCGACACCGTGCGTGCATGCATGACTACGTAAACAAGCAAATTCGTGTGCCTTCATCTTTCTGAGTCAGTACATATGAGCAAGAGCCTCTTTCCAGCGACCCCACTCACCCTCCTGTCATTAGGGATGATGCCCCACAGGTGTAACCGTGATGTCGACGTGCAGTGACACGGCCGTTCACCTGGGGGAAACGCTGTCACGTTGCATCAGCACCTTCCTGGATATTCATCCCAGGAGAGTCATGGACGGGAGTGTGGCGAGTTGTTGTGTTTGAGTGCATGGGTCAGTAAATTTAGAGGAGGAATGAAAGATACCGGGACAGTGAGGCGTTACCCAAGGTCAAAGAACCGGCGATGACGGATTTAACATCCATACATCAACAGCTGGTTTTCATATAAACGTGTGATCCTGCTGTGTGTGAGGAGGTGTAACAGGGAGTGACAAAAGATTAGGTGTGTGTGTTGTTACTAGGATGAGAGAGCAACAATGAAACAAGTGTGTGTGACAGTAAGAATATGCTATCGGCTGCTATTTCCAGAACACATACTTTGCACTTGAGCATATTTTCTCATTAACCAAGGTACCAGAAGTTCTCAAGGTGTCGACACCTCGTCTTGTTTTCACTCTAACAGTCTTGCAGTCACAACGGTCTAACGTTACAAATAATAATTACACCATCGTTATAGGAAGCAGCTACTATAATTAGGCAACAACATTTCTTCATGTTCAGACTTGCGATTTTCTCCTTTGACACATGGGCCACATCACAGCTTGTGGCTCTACTGAAAAACATACCTGTGCACAAAATGGGAAGTGGCATCTAACTGAAATCCAAAAAAGCAGATTTATACAGCTATAACAAAACTGGATAAGACATGAGGATTTTGAAATTGAAGCCACTTAATAAGAATATGTAACTTATGGCAAGATGTAATCCTTTGAGTTGGCCTGATGCAGCCCTACAATAGTGTAATCATTTTGTCAGCTATGATTTTATTTAGTCTTAATCCTGTGTCTAATGTCTTTAGTTAGTCTCTATCATATTTAGTCAGCGTCGTCCTGTGTATTTGAGCCAAGTTTAAATTGACCGAAAGTCAGCTTTTAGTCTCATTTTGGGTTTCTCTTGACATCAGATTATATTAAACATTTCAGTGAATGTAGCCCAGCCTATCACCTCTTTTCATTCTCCCAATCCCTGTTGTTGTCACTGTTAACTTTAACTTATGTCAGTTACAAGTGCCAGAAAGTTCTTCAAAGTCCCCCTGACTGTGCTCATTGTGCGCTGCCATTGTAGTCCTGCACAGGAATCTGAACTGCAGCATTGAGGAAAAAAAAGGTTAATTTTTAATTAGTAAAGTTGCTTTTTTAAACTACATTTTAGTCTTGTTTTTTTTTCCATCAACAATATTGCCTGTTGATATAGTCAAAGTTAGTGTGTAATGATGCTGGTGCCGCCTCGTCATCGACTCTTAGTCACGGAAAAAAAGGTCACTGACTAAAACATTTTTAGTCAGCTTGCGTTAATGAAATTAACACTGATTAGATATGAGGATTTTAAAAATGAAGGCTCTGAACTGTATATGTAATTTGTGGCAAGATGTGATCCTTCAAGCTGGCTTGATTCAGCTCTATGTTACGCAAACCTTGAGTCAAAAGAAACGTATCCTTTGTACCTTCAGTCTTTTTTATGCCCAAAACAAGGTCACTATCTAATAAATTCCAGCCCCAATTATTTCAGGGTCACACAATATTGACAGACAAGCTCTATAACAAGGATGTAAAGGGATCTATATTTTGAGGACTTGAAAAAAACAGGGGCTTAATAATTGGTCTATATACCAGTGTATCTGGGGAGAACTTTTTTTTTTCCTCATGAGCTGTGTTATGTTGTTTCGAAGTCATCTTGCAGAATGTGTTACTTCTCATTTTCTGGTCAGTGCGTGCTTTCTATTTGTAAGTCATTATGGGTAAGATACTCAAACAGTATTAGTCCCAACTTTAATCTCTAATATTTTTTATATGTTGCAGGTTTAACAAGATTAAAAAAAACAAAAGCTTTATTACCGTGTATACAGCACACGGTATATAGAAGCCTCGTCATTGCAAGTAAATATGAAAAATACACATGTATCTGTGCAAATTCCTCTTTTTTATTAACTGGACTGCACCTGTGCTTTATGTATTTCCAGTAAGTGAAGAACCATTGAAGTGTGAGGAACTGAAATATTTGCGGCCGATCTTCAGTGAGCTTTTTATATTTTCAAACCTCAGCATGTTCTTTCACAGTGCAGCGAGACTTTTTGAACTTCACTACACAACTGTTGTTCGAGGATTTCGGTCCAGTGTTTTATGTGTGGGTTAAGTGTTTCACTTCTGCAAATCTTCTCCTACTGCAACTCTGCAGTAAACCGGAGAACTCATTCTGTTAACATAGTGTCTCCTCTGCTGTAAGAACCAAAGAGTAAAAGAAAAAGCAGGCACATTCAGCCAGAAATTTAAGCTCCGGGATTTTTTCCCCCTCATTTCATTTTATGCGTAACATTTTATGTGTAGCAATCCTTTCTCTTCCATATTTGAACTTGTGACAGGTCAGGCATAATCAAAGTGCGAGATATACCACAATGGGACTTTCATGGAAACTGAAGAGTAACACAAATCACTACCACGAAACCACATTAGCTGTACACAGATGTACAATAATTTTCAAATTAATTATGCTCGTGCGGTTGTTTGCTTACTTTGGGATCTCGGAGGAAAAGAGCCTTTTGCAGCAGGGAGTTGATGTCTCCTAATGGAGGGTAGTGCATTAACAGGCCCAGGCAGGTCTGAAAGTTACTGGCGATGACTGAAACAGACAGAGCAACAATTGCAGTGTTAGTGATCCAACCGCAGAATCCATCCAAATATAGTATGTTATTGCATTTGCACGGTTTCAAATTTTGACAAATTTCAAAATTAGCCAGAATTAATATTAATGTGTTAAGAGAATGCATCTGACTTCATAAAACATACTGCATATGCTTTCACAAATAATCTCAAATGGAGGAAATACTGCAGCACAACGCTGCTACACCATGAAACTTGGCAAGCACTGAGCAACCAGTCCTACCCACAGCTGCACTACACTTCATCCAGCACACAATCGAGTGTGTCAAAAGTGATTTTCTCTAAGTGTTCCCATCTATCCTCGCATTTCTTCTACCTTTAGGGTACCCTTCAGAGAAGCACCTCCGTGATGAACAGCTTCCTCTTTGTTCCAAGGACACTTAGAAAAGTCGTAACAGCGCTACAACACTGCTGATCAACTATCAAAATGTCGTTTGTCTTTAATGTTTGCGATGTATAGCTCTGTATTTCAGTTTTAAAGACACTTAAGCAGGGATGATGTTTGCCAGCAATAGAGCCTAAAGCCCCATCCTGCCCGTGTGCATGGCAGCAAACATCTACGGTATTCTATTTAAAGCAATATGACTCCATCTGATTAAATGAAGTGGAGTAAATCACATTCTTCCACTTAAGTGTTTCTTATGAAATGACATGCTACAAAGACAACACGTGGCGTTATTGGATTATTTCAGTAATAAATGGAGCGTACGAGCATCTCGGATGTAGAGCAGCATGGCAACAAAGACGTAGTCCACCAGGTCCAGAGTGATGCTGTCAGCAAACAGGGCGTCCCACACCACCAGCAGGTCCTGGAGCGGGAACTCGCGGCCGAACAGCAGACGTACCCACCGGCTGTAGAGCAGACAGAGAGACAGGGTAAATGTATTTGTGTACAGCTGAGAGTCGAAGCATCAGACGCATTATACTAATGGTGTAAATACTGACATGCCGTAGATTTGAGGGGCGATCTCCAGCCGGTTGAGGTGCATGTGCAGTTCAATGTCATGCTTCTTCACCAGCTGGTCCTGGATGCGGTTGACTTTGGTGACTATGGCAACAGATGGCCCAGAGTCCTGGGGCCGTGCGAACGGGATGCTGGTCAGCATCTCTTCCTTACCCTGGGACAGCAGATCATTATGTAATTAGCATATCATTATGTAAACATTCACTAGCAGCATCTGTGTCCAACATTTAGTGGTTATGTTGAAGAGGAGAAATACAGGGTTTCTCTCTAGAAGGCATAGAGTTGTCTGAGTTTGAACAAAAATATATTTTAAGCGAATGTGCAGTTTGTTCTACTTAGATATTGAAACATTCATTTGAGTTATAATCTATATGACTTTTTAAAAATCACATCCAAACTTTGATACCACACATGGTCAGCAGTTTTCAGTAATAGCCACTCAATCTTTTTACATTCTATAATGACCTTACGGTTTAGTAGTTTAGATTGTAAGTGGAGGAGTCTGCCATTCTGATGCTGGATTCAAATTGCCTACCTAAGCATGAAGGATTCACACGAAGTCAATGTTTACCGTTATCTGAGCGGTATTAAACTAGTGCTAATGTAATCCCAGCTATTCCTACTGCTGCTGCTGGTTCAATTTGAAAGCATCCAATTGGGAAAACATGGGACCGCCAGGAAAGGCATGAATTTGTAAATGTAGTTATGTATCAAAAATGCATTTACAAAGCCAAGTAATGGGCATTTCTGTCATTTTTTTTGACAGTGAATCAGTTTTAAATATGGAAGGAAAAATGAAAGAAGAGGCAGCAGTCACAGTGAGCTGTTACACTCCTTACTGTGCACTGCTGTTGTGTGGAAAACTATTTGCATCATGCGACTCATCAAACCAGATCATAGTTGCAATTATTATTGACCAACTTCTTAATGAGTACGTCAAGAGTTTGTTTGGCTGCACTGTAAACAGATATGCCAAAAGCTCCTCTGTTGTATTTTTGACAAAGTAGCTGCTTAAGGTGCGTTTGCTGAAGCAGGACATTGTACTTGCCGTTACCCCAGTAACTAAGGGTGTCGTCAAATCAACCAGGACTGAAATCTTGAGGATTATGACTTAAGGTGTTAATAGCCTTCTGTCAGCATGTATAATGTCATGTCTTCTGTGCAGTCATTATGGTGCAATCAGCCGATATTATGTTACACCACTCTCAATCAATTATTGTAATTACAATGTCAAAAGCAGTCCTTCAGATTAAACTGACCTTCCTCACTTCCCTCTCAAAGCTGGAGAACCACGGCTCTGCTGTCTCCATCAGCTGCGAGAACAAGGCACTACAGACAGAGGTGTGTGTGAGTGTGTGTGTGTGTGTGTGTGTGTGTGTGTGGAGGGGAGACAGAGAAAGAGAGGGAAATAATGAGCAAACAAAGAAAGGACATGTTGTGAGATGGAAACACACATGTAAACCAATCCCAGTTATTTGAAAACTAATGAAATTTCTGAATATGAACACTTGTTATTCGTCCAATATTAGGAGCGTACTCACTAGGCATCGTGCTCAAGGTACGCTGGGTTCAACAAACACTTCATCTCCTCACTGTGGAAAAAGAAACACTGATCTTTCCCCAAATAGATACAGAAATATTTCTGGCTTCAGACTAGAGCAATAGCTACTGAGGCACAGACAGGTGGAGGGTGCACTTTCACAGCTATGAGAAACTGACCTGGGGCTGGCCGTCTCGCTGGCGTGTTGGAAGGCTTGATGGTCACAGTGCAGCACAAACACTATGGGAGCCAGCAGCTCGTGCATCCCCTGTGGACAGAGGAGAAGGGAGCGTAAGACGTAAAGGGCAGGGGAGAGAGAAATGATGGTTCATTTGTGGTCAGTCTTTCTTTAATAGTGATGCACGAGGTTTCTAATCTGTGATGACAGGTTTAATTTAGATATTGTTAGCCACTGCCCAGCCGTGTGTCACTTCCAGTTTGCAAAAGAGATTCTGTACTGGCCGTCTATTCATTCGCTGGCACCTGTTACAGACACTGATAATGATTAGGTTACAAAGGCATTTTATTCTTTTGTCTGAGCTCACTGGGCACTGAGAAGCCCACACACGTGCACTCACACACACAGATATGCCTAGATTATCAACTCAATGGCTCCGTAAAAAAAAAAACCCAATTAGAGACATGAATGTTCAAGAACCTTTAAGAGAAAACAAAGATGTCAGACTTTAACTTTTAGACTCTGTGAATGAACTGCTGGTACAATGTGTCAGTCCTACTGTACCTGTTTATACAGTAACTGTTCGTTCTCTCTGGCGTAACAGAAGAGAATGTCCGTCAGCTTGGTCCTCACATCGTCGTCCTGGAAATAACGAATCTCTGGGAAACTTAAGAAAATAGAATGAGAAAAAAGGAGTTGTTAACTTCACAGTGGTGCCAGAAAGCTGGCATTCAGTATAAACTAGAATTACCACCTCAGAGTTGGATGCCTCGACACACCAGTCAAGCTGCACTTACAATTCACATGCATGTCTGTGAAAACATGGATGCTTCACACACAGCTGCCCTCCGGCAGCACAGAAAATCTATTTCAAGTTTCAAGGTGGGCACCCAGGATTGGTGTCACCAATTCAGCATCTGACCAAATGTCATCTCTTCTGTTCCTGAGGGTTGACGCTGAGTAAAGGCCAGAAAAGTTAACCTTTGACCTTTTGGATAAAAAATGTCATCAAGTCGTCATTTGTGTGAAATTCTGTCCTACTTAGCAAAATAATTCTTGGGTTATGACCAAAAAGTAACATCAGTGATCTTGACCTCTGACCACCAAAATATAATCAGTTCAGTTGAGTCCAAGTAAATGTTTGTGCCAAATCTGAAGAAATTCCCTCAGGGTGTTTGTGAGAGAATAAGACAGATGCAAGATTACAGTGATCTTGACCTTTGACCACCAAAATGTAATCAGATAATCGCTGAGAGCAAGTGAACGTTTGTCCCAAATTTGAAGAAATTCCTCAAGGTGTTCATAAGATATTGCGTTCACAAGAACAAGACAGACAAAGTCACAGTGACCTTGACCTTTGACCACTATTCAGTTCATTGTTGAGATCTTGAGATATCATGTTCACATATGACCCAGACAGACGGACAACTCAAAAACTATCGCCGGCGTAGAGATATAAAAAAGGGGGTTGTTAACTTCACGTCGATGCCAGAGAGCTAGTGTCAGGTAAACAAATCTTCATTAAACTCATAAAAAAATACAGAATGATAGTGATACTGACGTTCTCATCACATCCTGCTTGATCATCCCCTTCAGCTCTTTATCCTGGAAGAACTTGTTCCACAGGCTCTGGACAGGACAGGGAAAAATTAAACATAGGCATAAAAACATTATTCAGAAACTTGTAATTATTAGAGACGGTGACCATACTGTGAGTGACTGGATAAAACAATTAAAAGAGGATAAATAAATAAATCTACAGCTGTTCAAAGCAAAAACGTATCCAACTCTAACCATGATTGATGAATAAATGACTGACATGCTATTTACAGAGGTGACCAGACCCTGGTAGCTACTTACAAAGTTATGACTTTATTCTTGTCATATGCTGCATTGTATCCTTAGCTGCAGACAGTTTTTCATGTTCAGCTAACCTGCTGTGTACTAAATAAAATACTTGCACTAACAATTAATTTGAATGAATCAACTTGAAGTGCACCAATTGAATGCTGTCTCTATTTTCTCTGTAATTAGCACCAAATTACATATTTTTCTTTCCAGGATATGTCCTAGGAACTTTTCTAGATTGGCAAAAACAGCCCTTGTTTACGCTCTGTTATTATCAGATGGCTTCCTGAGTGCATCACAACAAAACATCTGAAACTACAAAGTGGTAAAGCAGCAGGCAAATTAAATGGGAGGTGAAAAATAAATGGGGGGGGACACACACACACACACACACGACTAAATTAGTTTTTGAGTATTTTTAAACACTTTATTAATTGGCTAATCTAACATCAATTCAGTGGCTTCATAATTACTTTAAAAAACCTGTCAATGAATCAACATTAATGAATCGCTATAAAATTATTGCAGCAACAGAGTCTGGAGGGACTGCATTAGGGTCACAATTTGCATGCAAATATGAAACATCTGATACACAGAGATACACACTCACCCCTTCATCCTGGGACAGCGGGTTGTTGACCACCAGGTCCTGCTGGCCGGCAGCCTTGCGAGGGTTTGTAATGTGCTGGGAAGACAAAAACACCACATAGATGTCAATAACAGCCAATAACAGATCAGTGATCAGTTAATTCCTTAATAGGGCTGCACTGACAGAGATGCATATCCATACTGTGACCCCAGTTTGCACAACTATAGCTGCACATACTGTAGGCAGTTATGAGCTCTACATTGTTTTAAATGTGGCTGGAGGCAGAAACTATGAGAGGTTATTTAAAATAATTAAAAATGAAATGAATAGAATGCAATAAATACTTGATTCTCAACGCCATATAATGCTGTACCAAATGTCTTTTATTTATTTTTAACAATTGAAGCTGAGGTTTTCAAATGAAGCTTGAATGTCTGCCGTCATATTTTATGGCCTCATCATCCTAAAAATGAAATTAAATGAAATCATCTTTCTTTAATGAGTATTATGTGTCAGTTGCGTCAGCATAAACACTGCCTCGAAAATACAGGTGCGTACCTCCCTTTGTATGCCACGAGTGTGAGAGCGAACACTTTTTTGACCTCACTGAAACTGTTTTTGAAAGACTTAATGCCAATGAGTATGGATTGAAGAGGAATATTTCATTAGCTAAAAACATTTTGTGAATTTTGGAAATTATTACATCCATTTCTTTTCAATATGTTTAAACTTTTGCTCTGGAGTTATTGGAAATGTTTGAATCACACAAGTTAATAAGGAAGTCCTACGCAGCCATCACTGGAATCTAATTCTACAAACAGTACTATTAATATTAGTGTAGCTTATTCTCTATCTGCAACTGTGCAGAGATACTGGATTTAAACAGAATGAATAACCATGCCAAAAAAAAAGCTGTGCAGCATTTGAGTGCTTATTCACAGTTCAAACGTCAGTGTTATGAAACTTCAAACTATTCGGTATCGCCCAAATTGCTGCAAAGCTACTGCAGCTTTGGGTGTCTGTAGAAGCATTTTCTCATGATGCTGAGGCAAACGGCCACACAGAGGCGCTCTCACCGTCTCTTTGATCTTCTCATACTGGCCCCGCAGCTCCTTGGTCTTGTTGATCCACTGGCCCTTATCTTCTGGCAGAGCCTCCAGGTACAACTACAGACAGCCAGCACACAGGTTAGTGAACGCTACCTCAATATTTACCCTCTTAGAAGTCATAAACATGCAGACACTTTCAAAAACTAAACTCAAGGCTGCTTTTTTTCCACCAAAGACGGACTGCAAGCTGCCAGAACTGCTGTCTTTTCTGCGGCAGGGAAATTGCCAAAGCCCCTTTAATCAAACTCGATAGGATTGCTTGATCCATTTGGCAGTTACCTTCCAGCATACGCTCCGAAAGCGGCTGCTCCTCAGCCGCCCGTTGATGCCTGCCTGCCGGATCCTGGCCAGGTAATTACTGTTGAGGAACAAGTCGTCCCATTCTTTCCTGTGCAGGGGAGGGGAGGTAGAGGACGGGGAGATTTATGAGCTTCTCAACCCAAATTGGGCACGGTGTTCCATCTAATGTGTCATCCAGCAGTAAACCAGGAGGCTGGAGCAGTGAGCTGGGCCAAAAGTTTATGGTGCACCCGCACAAGAAAATACTGGAAACACTCACCTGTATGAGAGGAAGGTTGACTGGGACTGTGAGTAAGTGCTGCTGTCAAGTGATCCTCCTGTTAAAGCAGACATACACGCATCCACAAGGGGGAGATGTGAACAACCAGAGCAAAGATATAACACTAGAAATCAATCTTTTTTAAAGCTTAATAATCAAAAACATAACATCTGACAACTACCATAATAACGATCTGGCCTATTTACTGCTTCCAAGTGACCCAGCAGTTATTTTTGGGGCTTCTATCTCACGCCATGTGGTGGAGCAAAAAGGGCCAGAAGCAGGGAAAGTGAAAGAGAGTAAAGCACCATAGTCTTCTTTGTCTTTATTGGCAGTAATAAGTCTAATTTGGCCTGCAGGTGAACATGCATTCAAGTCGGAGAGCTGTCTATCAACATTAGTTACAGGAGTAGATCATTCCACAGGGACACTCAGCATGAATATTCATCAATTCCACAACATGCCAGCCCCCAACATCTTCTCCCTCTCGCACGTAAACATAAAAACACAAAAACACCCTCAGCCCCGGGGGCGTCGCCTGCCACGTCTGTGACTCACACCTCACAGTGTAGGCTCCAATTTTATTTTTTTATCATCTCTTTCTATCTAGAACTGCAAGCTATGGTGAGTCTCTTCTACTCTATTCTTTGTCTACTCGTCAGAGCCTTTGTCAGAGCATTATACAGTCTCGACAAGACCGACACACCGGTATGTTTTGAGTCTAGGCACCAACATGTCAAGTTGCCAAGTTTGAATCCCAGTTAAGCCAGAGAGTTGACGTACTGCTGCGGTTCTTGTTGAAATTATTGAGCGGGTCGAAGCCTGTCTCCTGCTGCTCGTCTGTCTGGAGTGGGTGGCGGGTTTCGAAATTGGGGTGCTGCATGACCGCGACCCAGCCGGACCTGGACAAAGTAACAGGAGAAACCAGTAAAAAACAAAGAAAATAAAAACATAGTTAAATCACAGGCTAGTACAACAGAACAGCTAGAGACTACAAAAACTACAAACCAAACTTTGGGTAGCTTCTGTCATATTATGCATGACTTTTGAACTCAGAAAACTCCAAATGATAAAGCATGGTAGCTTCCCACTAAACTGACAACACCTTCTGATAGGGAGACTGACCTTTGACCACAGCTTGTGCTGACTGGTTTCTCTGCTTAAGTCTTCTCGAGCTGGAGTGTTATTCTGACCCTGACCTCTTCATGACGGGTTGCATGCAAAATCTATTTACTGCAATCACTGAAGTGCTAACATTAAACACAGCTGAACTGTTTTAATCTCTGGACTTACTGTCACAGCCTCGTGATTCTCCTCAGCCAAGACTCCAAAGAAAAGGATGACTCTAAGAAGAAGAAGAAACAGTAATGATGAAAATAAACACCTTCAGCACACAGGGACATAAAAAAGCAGTGTTTAAAGGAGCGACAAATGATTTGGTGTCATAAAATTCATGTGTATTGCTCATTGTGTTGACCAAAACAAACACAAGTTGCTGTTTATTCACCTCTTCTATTTAACACAACTTTGTTGCCTGAAATAAAACACTGACACTGATTGCTGTCAGTGAGGAATCACTTAAATTAACACGAAGCACTTGAGCTGCCTGATGCCCTGCCATGCTCGCTGTGATATATTAAACATAAGCGGTAATGCTAATGAGGTCATTAAGTAGGCAAATTAATGCCTTCATTTCATATTTTGATGTCAACAGACTGGTTGTCACATAACCCGCAGACGGTATTAACGGCGAAGATATTAAGGGGCTATTACCGTTTCAAGGAATTTGTTGTTGCTCATAAAATGAAAATGAAAAAATGTAATCAGATTGTCTTTTACAGGGGGACGCTGTGATGTGGGTGTAAAGTTTCTGTTATATGTTGGGTTTAAGGGCACATAATGTACATGCTTACACAGCATTGCATGGTGTCAATATCTATTGTAAAAAAAAAAATCACTATGTTAGACATATCTACTACTACAGGACAGCATGAATGAACAAGCAACAACACATGGGGAAGAGTTACGCAAAAATGGCCAGTTGGTGTCCATTATTATAAATTAACTTATGGACTAATGTTTGGCTTATTTGCCGGAAACAGCATTTCAAAAGTCAGGTTCTGATGCTATTATTTGTCTTACATATTAATGGTTAACTAAATATGTTTTGGGCAGATGAACAGACATTTGAAGACATCACTTTGGGTTCTATTATAACAAGCACTTTATGACATTTTCTGACATTTTATAGGCAAATATTCAATCATCATCATATTCATCAACGAATCAAGAAAGTAATCAACAGATTAATCAATATTGAAAACATGTTAGTTGCAGTTCTAATATTTATATTAATGAGCGGTAGGGCTCGACAATTAACAGAATTTATTGAAAAAAACATAGCCTAGTTATGAAACTTTAACAGATCTAAAGTTGCTCATATAGTCAGTTTTCAAAGTAGTCTGAATCACAGCAACAAGAAACGTGCACTCATGTACAAGTAAACAGTTAGTCTGCAACAACTCTGACGATCAGTTAACTGATTAAATCACTTCTCAAGCAAAACAGCAAAATAATCTTTAGTTCCTGCTTCTCAAATGTTCGATTCTTGTATCTGAGTATCTTTGGGGTTTAGACTGTTGATCAGACAAAGCAAGACATATAAAAACACTACCCTCGCGCTTTAATCAACAAAACAACCAATTAATCAAGACAATAAAAGGCAGATTAAAGAATAACAGTCACATCAGACACGATGCATCGTGAGCGGTAAATGTGACAATTTATAATGATTTAAAAATCAGGTAAACCCAGAGCCAACGTCTCTCCGCCAACTATCAAAGCTATGAGAAAAGTTTAACTTTCTCTGTGAGACATCACTATCTAGGTTAAACAATTCTCCCTCCATTCTTTATCCAGCTTGGGGATTATTCCATGTTTATGAATATGGTTAGCCTAATACACAGGCCTACAGAATAGTACGCTTCCACAGAGCATTATGTTCCTTTTCGCTTTATTAATTGTGGAAATAACACAACAAAGGCATCTCTTAAACCTATTAACCATGTGAATGGGACACAGCTCGATAAATCAGCTACATGCGCCATCAAAATAGAAATAATTTTATATGCATAATGTATGTGCCTGCTTTCTTAGGAAACATCTGTTCCCCTCAAAGACTAATGCTCTCCTTAAGTCTGAGGGGTTTTTCTCCCTTCCCTCATAAAAAGGATATTATCCCATTAAATAATCGTAACTAATCCACAACTATAGGGAAAGACAGAGGAACGTTGTGAATAGGTATCTCCAATAATAGCCTGTTTTCTTAGTTTTGCTTTAAAAGACTGGCATGAAAGATTTATCAAACTCTCTTGAGCGACTACAAATATATCAGCAGTCACCTCGCGCAGAATATCAATTCATATTATCCCTGTCTGACAAAAATTTGCATTGCACAAAGTGTCAAAAGATATTTTGAGGACCGTTTTTCCCTACAGGCCTGCAAACGCATCCAGCGCTTTGTCCCTTCTTTCCAAAAATAAAAAGTCATTCTTAACTTTCTAAAGAGGCCTTCTCAGATCTCTCACTGCTCACCATGCTTTGAGGAGGCACGTCTTGTGTGTGCGAGCCTTTGTGAGTGAATGAAAGCCGATGCGGGCAAAAGACCCGAGGCCTCGCCGTGTTGGCACAGTCTCGCCTGAAGCAGGTCTTCTCTTAGCCTTCTGCTGCCTTCATTGCTTCCTCCCAGAGTCGAACGTAAAACGACATCCTAACTTTGCCACATAATAATGAAGGCAAATTAGCTTCTGCATAATTTAACCCACAGCACCTGGAGACACTTCAATAATTCAAAACACGAATCTTTCATGAAATAATCAAATCAATACATAATGAAATGCATAAATAAATCAACAGGCAAATAACACTGCGTCCATCTGTTCAGAGGTAGAAGATGTGTTCCTGGGATTTACAACAACAGCCCGTGAAGCTAAATCCAAACTGTAGCTACATTATCTTGTTACAAACATTAAGATTTCTCAACCACTTTCTTTTTCAAAGCTATCGCCTCGAGCGTGATTTCAAAGGAGGAACACTGATGTTTTGGATTGTGTAAAGCACACTGGATGCACACCAAAGTCAAGCCAGAGAGCCTCGCTCTGAACTTCCTTCAGTGCTCCTAAAGTACATTTCACTTCCCTTTACTTTGAAACACATTCAATCTGAAAGCAACCACAACTATATTTGAGCCCAAAACTTTCGGTCACTATTTTCACACTTGATGGACTGTGACGAGGGCGTATCACATTCTTTTGGGTCATGAGAATATTTCGGAGGAGCACATCAGCTACACAGCATGGGGGGGTTCACCTCACAGCAGCAGCCAAGCTGACAAATTCACTTCTGCTCCTCTTCAAAATGCAGAGGCAGGTTTTGTTCAACCACATGCTTAGAGATCCCACGTTCAAGCTGAGCTGACACAAAGAAAAGCCTCAGCCCGCTCCGAGCTTATTGGCCTAAAGGCACAAAGGCTAAACTATTCTGAAACTAAACCCAGATTAAACTGTATTAAAAGTTTTGCTGAAGTGCCTGCAGAATTTCCATTTAGAGACATCTGACTACAACTGTAACTCCACTGAAATGAACAGGCTGCAGCTTTATTTTCAGCTCAGGAAAATACTTGAAAATGACCATTAGGTGTAACTAATAAGTCCACTAGTCGTCACTTAAACTGAACCATTGTCAGAGCTGCCTCATGTAAAACAGATTCAGAAAGAGAATCAGTACGTGGGCTCTTCAGAGGATGAATATTCAAACAGGATTCTGCAATGAGAGAAGCTGTCACTGGCAGCTACGGTCGGAGCAGCAGATCGCACTTTAGTCAAAGTGAAACACCCCAGCTAAACAAATTCACATGCCTCTACTTCAAGCACACAACAAGAGCCCCGGAGCGTTCACAGTCACATGCTTTGCAAGACGCTGGGAACATGCTTGAGACCTTAACCTTGGCAAAATACCATAAACTTGCTGGGACTTGATTCGATTACCAAATGCACGTTAAGAGATTAAACCTGACAGATATTTGTCTGTATACAAAAACTAGAGCAGGGGTCCCAGACCTCCACGTGGAGTCACAAGACAAATCTAAAGGATTGTAAGATGATCGAAAAGGTTATTTTAGTCTTTAAACCTTTTTCTTGTGAATTGCTGGATGATTTTACCTCTTCAAGCTTCTAAAAAAATCATTAGAGTTGCACACACCTCACTGATTATGCAATGGGTGCTGAGCTCTCATAAGTACACATTGTTATATTTCCATAGGTCATGAGCCAAAAAGGTTGGAAATCACTGCACTTGAGGAAGACCTGCTGTGCAAAAGAAGAAGCGAAAGACATTTAATCATGCAGAACACTTATTTGCATTAACAGACTGTGACGTTCAGCAAGTATCAAAACACATCCCCACCACACAACCTATATTCTCTGAACTAGTCAATGCAGACATACGTACAGTAGGAGAGGTCAGCTATCATCTCACAACAGGGAGGTTAACTTCAGTTGTGCACAGCTCTTAATTTCTGCCTGAAGTCAAGAGGCTTTTTTCCTTGTATCCCAAACAGCCTGCATACACCCAGACTGCAGTATCCCATGCACACATACTTGTACTGAACTGGTTCCTGTTAGTGTGGAGAGCTGTGTGAAACGGCATTAACCCATGCAGGCAGGCAGTAGTAGCGGTTACCAAACCTCTGCACTGCCTTGAACCCATCACTGAATCTGTCAGGCAGGGTAGGCCAGCCCGGGGAAATAGGTTAAAGGCACACTACAGTAGCAACTTAGTCATTAAAATTGAACCGTTTTAAACAATTTTGACGCCATAATTAACAGCCAGCAGTGACAATGAGTGTATAATAAGAAGTAAAACACACACAGTGTCCGTCTTTCGTGCACAACGGGTGGTGACAATCGGTATTATCGATGCAGGCAGGGCAAAACGCCAAACAGCTAAGCTAGCTTGCGGCTAACATTGCTAACTGAAGGCTAAGCTAGCTAAATAAACGCACCATGATACAACTGTAGTCGTCAGCGTTCACTGAACATGAATACATACAACACAAACAGGTCAGTTAATGTAACATTAGCTGGCAGTCAGCAAGTTGTAACCGACCCGATACACGGGCCTGTCTTCACTTCCGACACACAGCTGCTGCAGGAAGACACGAGACAAACTTGTAGCACACTCTCACACGCGCACACACAGGCTAATATAAGTGTAAGTAATACCACAGAGTCATCCATAACCCGCCGTGGGCTCTCAGCGTGTGTCAGGTACCTGTTCAGATCATGCAGGACTCCTCATTCTGCTGTATCGGACTCTGTGCTGATTTGTAAACAGTAGCGGGTCAGGCGGATGTGCTGAACGTCAGCTGACTGGTCATGTGACCACGCAGCTCTGGCTTGTGCTCTCCAGGCTTTGGTTTACTTAACTGCAGATAACATCATAAACAGCAAAAATGTGGCTTTTGCGCGGACAGAAATTAAATATCCAAGTAGTAAATGGTGAGTATAACACACACTGATGCTTTAAATCGAATAATAATAAAAAACTTTTGGGTTGCCAGGTTGTGGGAACTTTCTATGGCAGGTGTGTCCTCCTCCTCCAGCAGGACACTTGCTAATAATGTTTATCAGTCACTAATGAAATTTCATAGAATAACCTAAGTCTGCAGTTAGCCTCTATGTTAATTTATTGTTAATAAATAAATTTTGTCTTCCATTAGGTCAGAGGTTAAACAGCATTGGAGGAGTTTACGTGAGGAACCAAAGAAAAGACAAATTGGAAGAAGCATTGTGGTGCTACAGAGATGTCCTGGCCTACAACACATACTCCAGATGTAAGGAAACATTCTTGTTTGGTACAGACCCCATCAAATATCACACCATCCTAATTTTTATTTTTATTTTTCAGTGAAAATGAAATGCAAAAATTACTCATTTCGCAATTGGAATATCTGTCAAAAAAATTACTAGTTAAAGACTGTCCATCCAATCTTTTCCGCAGGGGGGCTGGGGCCTATCCCAGCTGACACTGGGCGAGAGGCAGGGTACACCCTGGACAGGTCACCAGACTATCACAGGCCTGACACATAGAGACAGCAACCATTCACACTCACATTCACACCTACGGACAATTTAGAGTCACCAATTAACCTGCATGTCCTCCTGGGATCAAACCAGAAACCTTTTTGCTGTGAGACAACCGTGCTAACCACCACACCACCGTGCCGCCCTAGTTAAAGACCAACCATTGACATTTTTTTTTATAAAACGTGGCAACCCCAATGTGTTCTTATTAATCCTTACACTGATCTATGAAATATAAAGCCCAGATATTAACCTACTTTAAATAAAGCTTCAGTATAGTTATGGCAATTTGAACTGTCAGCGTTGGCCTGGTCTGAAACATACAAAGGTGTTCACAGTTTTAGTAATTAATATGCTTATTCATAACTAAAGCCAGGGTGACACAGTGGTGTGGTGGTTATTGTCGCCTCACAGCAAGATTCCAGGAGGGAGCCCTTCTGTGCGGCGTTTTCATGTTCTCCCCATTTCAGCATTGGTTTTCTCTGGGTACTCTGGTTTCCTCCCACAGTCACAGGAGGCCGTAGGTGTGAATGTGAGTGTGAATGGTTGTCTGTCTCTATGTGTCAGCCCTGTGATAGTCTGGTGACCTTTCCAGGGTGTTCCCTGCCTTTCGCCCAATGTCAGCTGCGATAGGCTCCAGCCCCCCTGCGAGCAGCTACGAAAGGTTTAGAAACTACTAATGAAATGACCTCAAAGATGTCCAACGTCTTTACACACACACGCACAGATAAAATTTCAAAGGTGATTGCAAGTTTTAATTTCACATGGATCGGCACATGGGAAGCTTTCAGGCAGGGACGTGCACAGACATTTTGAGGGGCTGTTGCTCTGACTCCCAAAACAGTCCATGTCCAAAGTGAACGTTATTTTGAAAATGCACGTCTTTCTTTGCATTTATGCCATCTGTCTACAGTCTACAGTAATCATTCTGCCTCCTGCAAATGCGGGGCTTTTTGTCAAGTGTTCACACCTGAATAAATTCTTCAGAGAACGACCAAATTATGCAAACACTTGCTTGTCTTACTTTACAGTGACTCAATAATTGCTTGTGAAGCCCACAAATAACACTGGAGAAGGCTGTATCTAGTTTTATGTGTAAAAATAGGTACTAGAATACAGACTGATTTAAAACAAAATTATTTAGGATTTCATGAATTTATTTTCTGGCTTTAACATCCTATAATTTACTGTTATAAGTATTTTACATAATCATGAGGAATTGGAGCTTTTGGGGATACCCCCCCCCCCCACAGGATACCACTTATGTTAAAGAAACTCAGTTGGAGTAATATACACAGATATAATATACTCTGTATGTGTCATTGATTAAAATATCAGGTTTTAATTCATAAGCCTTCTTCCAAGTTTTTAAAAAGAAAAATGCTTTTGAGAAATTAGACCTACTTCCCCTTAAATTAATATGTAGGAAATAGTAGGTTGACATTTCTGTGCTTCACCTGCTGGCCTGTTGGTGTCTGAATTCAGCTCTGCAAAGTTGTGCTCCCATTCGCTGCCTCCCTGAAGGGTCCTTATTTATATATATATATATATATACAGTACAGGCCAAAAGTTTGGACACACCTTCTCATTCAATGCGTTTTCTTTATTTTCATGACTATTTACATTGTAGATTCTCACTGAAGGCATCAAAACTATGAATGAACACATGTGGAGTTATGTACTTAACAAAAAAAGGTGAAATAACTGAAAACATGTTTTATATTCTAGTTTCTTCAAAATAGCCACCCTTTGCTCTGATTACTGCTTTGCACACTCTTGGCATTCTCTCCATGAGCTTCAAGAGGTAGTCACCTGAAATGGTTTCCACTTCACAGGTGTGCCTTATCAGGGTTAATTAGTGGAATTTCTTGCTTTATCAATGGGGTTGGGACCATCAGTTGTGTTGTGCAGAAGTCAGGTTAATACACAGCCGACAGCCCTATTGGACAACTGTTAAAATTCATATTATGGCAAGAACCAATCAGCTAACTAAAGAAAAACGAGTGGCCATCATTACTTTAAGAAATGAAGGTCAGTCAGTCCGGAAAATTGCAAAAACTTTAAATGTGTCCCCAAGTGGAGTCGCAAAAACCATCAAGCGCTACAACGAAACTGGCACACATGAGGACCGACCCAGGAAAGGAAGACCAAGAGTCACCTCTGCTTCTGAGGATAAGTTCATCCGAGTCACCAGCCTCAGAAATCGCAAGTTAACAGCAGCTCAGATCAGAGACCAGATGAATGCCACACAGAGTTCTAGCAGCAGACCCATCTCTAGAACAACTGTTAAGAGGAGACTGCGCCAATCAGGCCTTCATGGTCAAATAGCTGCTAGGAAACCACTGCTAAGGAGAGGCAACAAGCAGAAGAGATTTGTTTGGGCCAAGAAACACAAGGAATGGACATTAGACCAGTGGAAATCTGTGCTTTGGTCTGATGAGTCCAAATTTGAGATCTTTGGTTCCAACCGCCGTGTCTTTGTGAGACGCAGAAAAGGTGAACGGATGGATTCCACATGCCTGGTTCCCACTGTGAAGCATGGAGGAGGAGGTGTGATGGTGTGGGGGTGTTTTGCTGGTGACACTGTTGGGGATTTATTCAAAATTGAAGGCACACTGAACCAGCATGGCTACCACAGCATCCTGCAGCGACATGCCATCCCATCCGGTTTGCGTTTAGTTGGACGATCATTTATTTTTCAACAGGACAATGACCCCAAACACACCTCCAGGCTGTGTAAGGGCTATTTGACCAAGAAGGAGAGTGATGGAGTGCTGCGGCAGATGACCTGGCCTCCACAGTCACCGGACCTGAACCCAATCGAGATGGTTTGGGGTGAGCTGGACCGCAGAGTGAAGGCAAAGGGGCCAACAAGTGCTAAACACCTCTGGGAACTCCTTCAAGACTGTTGGAAAACCATTTCAGGTGACTACCTCTTGAAGCTCATGGAGAGAATGCCAAGAGTGTGCAAAGCAGTAATCAGAGCAAAGGGTGGCTATTTTGAAGAAACTAGAATATAAAACATGTTTTCAGTTATTTCACCTTTTTTTGTTAAGTACATAACTCCACATGTGTTCATTCATAGTTTTGATGCCTTCAGTGAGAATCTACAATGTAAATAGTCATGAAAATAAAGAAAACGCATTGAATGAGAAGGTGTGTCCAAACTTTTGGCCTGTACTGTATATATATATATATATATGAAACAGCAACATATTTTAGTGTGGTATCAAAACAATATGGGTGGTAAGACTGTGAATAAAAAAAATCAAAGAAAGAAAGCTGCGTTAACAGAGCGCACAGTTGTTGTACATTATACCACCTAGGAGAAATTAAACAGATTGAAGAGGCTACATGAGGGTTAATTAAGACAGTTTTATGGAGACCTAATTGCAGAAATTTCTGCGGTCAGACAAGTCAAGTTTATCTGTAGAGTGCTTTCATCAGATGCCTTCATCACAAAGTGCCTCCCACAAACCAAACCAAAGCTGCAGGATGGTCATGATACAAGAAAAGGCAGGAGTCCATGTGAAAATATATACAGGTGGTGACATTCAATAGCACTAACGAGTCCAATGTGTGCATTTGTAGTGGTGTGTGTGTGTGTGTGTGTGTGTGTGTGTGTTTGTGTGGTGGTGGGTTAACACAAAGCAGTCATAATGACCATCATAGCCATTACCATCATCATCATCACAGGCATGGCATTTCCAGAGCGCCATTATCATCATTATTATAGCTAATATTGCTGATGATGAGGCTTTCATGGCCTCTTGTTGGCCCTGACTTAGGTATCGTCATGGAAACAGACGACAGAAAAAGAGCATAGCTTTATTGAATTACTCTATGAAGCTATTCTGACCAAATGGGGCTTGAATGTTGCACTGTCGGAGTATAGTGGGGGAGCGGCAACGTGAAGAGTCCCGAGGAGAGACAGATGAGAGTCAGGGGCAGAGAGGGAGGCAGAAACATGGAGAGAAATAGCCGTTGAGATGGATAAAATAAAAGAGGAATAAAAAAAGGGACTGAAACAGCACTGAGGGGCCATGTGATTGTACAGAGACACAGTTCCACTGGTACAGAGAGCTCTGGTGATCAGCACAGTAGAACGCTGTCTGACGGCTGGAAACAATGACAGCAATTCACCAACAAAGACACAGTCATATAAGAGGAAATCACCTCGTCTATAACACCAGCACAGACAGTGGACATCAGAACCGTTGATTTAATCTTTAATGGGTCTTTCACAGCAGGCCTCTGCGCGTCTAAAAATAGCAGTCTGATAAATGAGTTTCATCTCTTATTTACTTGTTTCTGGCGCGATAAATCTCACACACTGTCCTCAAATTCTATTCTATACACTGAGAACACATCCCAAATAAATACTGACAAAGTCCAAACTGTCATCTGCTCATATTTTGCTGCTTAGGAGGAAAACAACCATCTTTATTTGTGTCAGAATCATGATGCCTTCCCCACTATGTCTGTGTGGTTCCACAGATTCTCTCACATGATGTTTTAGATCTGGGTTTCCTGGTGAGAAACATCATGTGTTGCTGTTTGGGTAAGAAAAGTTTTATCATCCAGGCTTCTGGACTCTCATAAAACACACATTTTTATTACTCTCCCTCAGATTGTTTGTAAAATTAAAAAGAAAAATCCAGCTTTAAGATCAGATGCTTACCACAGATAATGAACATATAGTACAATTATGAATGACTCTTTTTTTTGTTTTTACAAATGACAGCGCTATCATTTAATTTCAACATTTCAACATTTCATGTACACGCTACACGGCCTCAGCCTTATATTTCTAGCCCACAATCTCCCTTTCATGAACATTAAACATTGTGCACATTTTGTGTCTCTGCTACAGTATGTAAATCAGTACAATATGACAACCACAAGATGTGTAAACATAACACTCACACCAAAATAACACAGCTATTTTGGGAGAGAGATTTACAGATTCATGCATTAATAGAAACACTGAATGTAAACTATGATGTGGTCAGGAGCAAATTAGATCTCAGCAAAACTGTAAAAGTTAATAAACTGGAAAAAAAATTGACTCATTTGCAGGAGAGGCATCTTAAATGCCCACACGTTGATCAGTTTGGTAACTAATCCATTGATTCATGTGTTGATTTATTACATACTGCTGTAAAAAAATGCAAAGGATGCCCTGTCATTTATGAAAGGGTTATTCTTAATGCTATATATCATTTATAAATTCTTTTAAGACAGAATCAGGACACTTGATATTTATTACATTGTGACAAATCTGAATGAGAGCAATGTAAGATATAGCAGTGTAACCCGGTCTCACTCCCAATTCGTCAAATGGTGACCCTTTGTCAGCAGCCCTCAGAGTCAGATACCGACGCACGGAGGCAGCCTTTAGCAGCGGAACGATGTCAGAAGCACCTAGTGGCAGCTTTTTAATGCTCCAAGCAAAGAGTAAGAAAGTTGGCAAAGGGCGGTCAAAGAAACTCCAAACTTTCACCTGGGAGTCCGCTGTTTGTTACCCGTGTGAAACTAAGAGTCAGTTGAGTTATTTTTATAACAAAGTAGTGTGCATTACCTGTAAGTATTTTTTGAAAAGACACTATGCACGTGACATAAACATCCGAAACGGACTAGTGTCATAGTTTGACAGGGCTATTGACCAAGCGTCTGTATATGACTAGTTAGGAGTGAGATTGAGTTATGAAATCTGAACCAAAACACAAAGCACTATTAAAAAAAAAACATAGAAAAACAAAACCAATGGAGATACATATCATTAAAAAACAGATTGGCAGTGCCACTTTCTACAAGGCATTTCTGGCATGGACATTTCTCACAACTCATTTTTTAACAGTGATATGTAATCTGAGGCTCTTTGTATTGGGTCCCATTCACCCAGACACATATATCGACACAGACACAATGTGTTATCCGCACGTAATAGTCACAGTTACTCTCTGTCTCAAGTGCAGTACGGATGCTCAACTCACAGGAGGGCTCTCTAAGCTTAGGTGTACTGTCAGGGTATGAACACCAGCATCCTTTTAAGCTGTGGTATCAACATGTACAATAAGTCGGCGTTTAGTCTTTCCACAGCATTTCTGGACACACACATTTATTACGCTCCAGTACCCAAATGCTGTGAGTCAGTGCTCATATGGATTTGGGTTCGATTTAGCTCTCCTGCTCCTCTTTCATAGCGTTAATAGTTTGAGTGCCAACATCCTATTCTTTCAAAACAGTGATCTCGCTCGCTACACTTCTCCCTGTTTGCTTCTCCTCCTCCACCTCCTTTTGCTCAGTTTCAGTCCTTCCATCACCTTCCTCCTCTCGTGCCTCTGCAGTTATGTCTTTCAGGGAGAGGTTTGTGTGGCCGTGCTGGTCGTCTCGGCTCTGTTTTGGGTTCTGGCTCTCGTGTTGATGCCGGTCGTGGTCCTGGCTGTTGAAGAATCTTCGGATGGTGTGCTTGGGCAGGCCCAGCTGAGCCGACAGGGTGTGGATGGCCTCCTCGTCTGGGTTGAGGCCCACATCCTGAATGAAGCTCTGCAAGATTCCCAGTGCTTCGTGGGACACTCTTAACCCCTCACCTTGGACCTCATTATCTGCCTCTGGACAAACCCCAGCCCTGCCTGGATCCTCATCCTTCACGCCTGGCCACTTCATCGTGAGCTTCTCCTTCTCCTCTTTGCCATCTCCAATGATCTCATTAATCCCTTCCTCACCCATATTTCCATCCCTCACCTGCTCCTTGCTTTCTGTACTATTCTCCCTCACCCTGCCAGTGCAACCCCAGTCACCTCCCAAAGTGCTCCTCTCTCCTCGCCCCCCCTCAACCCAGTCCTTACTGTCCCCTCTCTCACCATTGCTACTGCCCCGGCCCTGCACACATACTCTCACATGCCCCCAGTTGCCCCCAGCCTCGGACTCAGCCGGTGATGCAGCACACGGTTGCCGTGGAGACAGTTGAGGTCCTGCCTCGGGCTGCAGGGGTTGATGGGGTTGAAGATGGTGTTGCTGTGGCAGAGGAGAGTTGCGTTGGTACTGATGAGAGAAAAAGAGAAAGTAGAGTAAAAAGCAGTGCTTGGTTATTTGGATTTAATATTTTCTAATTTCCATTGTGTTAATGTGAATATCATTGTGTTTAATTTTAATGGTAGATGATTAGGGACAGGAAATGATAAGATTTTACTGATACAAATGCCATTTTCGATTCTGATTAACAGTCAAAATCTTAATTGATTCCCTCATTGATTCCTGATCAGTTTTCTGTGTGGGGAAAAAAATAAGTCTACACAGATTTTCATCATCAATGCAACTGTTTTATTATCGCAAAGTCTGAAACACAGGAAAGTCTGTCTGAAGTTAGGTAATATTTGTACAGCATTCATTTTCATTTATGTTTTCTTAGTCAAAGGAAAAAACCTGCTAAGCCTTCCTGCTGATGTTTTTATAACATAGGATATTTATCCTTGGCGATGGACATCCTGCACAGTTGGGAAGAAGTGGCACTTGGGCGTAAAGTGTCAGATACACAGCGTTCCTTGAAAGCTCATGTTGCGTATGTTTCAGCATATTGCTAGTGTTTCCATCCTTAACTGAAATGATCATATTACGGACATTACAAGCAGCACTGTTGTCATCTTTCTTCATTGAATGACGCCACGCTTTGAACCTCTCTGCCATGACTTCTTCTTGTTGCAAGTTTCCAGCAACACAGAAGCATGAGTTTGGTGTCATTGTGTTGCAGTGCACAACTGTGAGAAAACATGCCGGCATTGAAAAAAGGAATTGATAAGTATGATTCTGATGGATCAGCCGATTTAAATTATCCAGATTCCCCTCTCTATAGATGGTGTGAAGTGAAGTCAGCATGATTGAATCATCTATTTAAAACTGTACAAGTAATTAGTGTAAGGATTTCATATGTGAGGTGGTCTGCAATGCAACCATCCAGGGTTCCTGTCTACAGAACTGATCAGTACATATTAAATCTGCATGCAACATACTGCACAGAGGGATGCACAACCATTTTTGACAGTAACTGTGCCATAATCAAGCCATCTATAGATGCACAAGCTGTAGAAGTGAAAGAAAAATATCTAATCAGTCTCACTGATCGCTGCTGAACGTGGTAATCATCTCTTTTTTTGACATTTTTGGCATTTAGCTGCTGTTACTGTGCTGCTTTTCTATCACAAACCCTAGAGATCTACTGTAAAAAGTGATGTATTCTCTATCACATTTCTGGTTAAAAATTATATTAAAATTTTTATAAATGATTTCTCTTAAATCTGTGTTTAAAGCGCTTTAAGAAAAAGAAAGTCAGGTCACCTTAAGCCCCCAGTGATAAGGACAACAGCTCCTCTAAAAAAATGATTGAAAGGTTAGAATAATTTATCTGCTAGCCTTTGCTGCTCATGTTTTTTTCATTTATACCAAACTGCTGTTTCTGTAGCTGACAAGCCAGATCTACCAGAGACAGAGTGTTTAGAACAGCAGTCTGCATGTAACGATGTCGCGTTTATCTTGTTTTTGCAGTCTCACCAGTGTATTGTCATTGCCGAGCAGTGTCAGCCTGTCAGCGCAGTGCTGCTGTGCCGTCGTGTTGCAGCTTTCCTGTTCGTAGATAGCATCTCGCTCAGTCTGGGACAGGCTGAGGAAGCGGCGGATCATGCACAGATTCTCCCACAGGGTCCGGTTCTCTGGGTTGGGATCCTCCTTCCAACGCAGCAGCTCACACAGCCAGCCCTGCAAGGAAAGGTAACACTGTAAGTCTTGTAGCACACTGTTATGTAAAGCTGCAATAATTAATCAATTAACTCATTAGCTGTCAACTATTAAATTAATCACCAACTAATAATCAGTTAATTGGTTTGAAACATTTTTAGGAAAGAAAAAATCAAACTTCACTGACTGTAGCTTCTTAGATGTGAATATTTTCTGGTTTATTACTCCTCTGTGACAGTGAACTGAATATCTTTGGGTTGTGGACAAAACATTTAAACACTGAACATTTTTCAACATTTTCTGACATTTCACAGACCAAACAACTAATCGGTTAATCAAAAAAATAACTGACAGATTAATAGACGGTGAAATAATCGTTAGTTACAGCCCTGCTATAATGTAGTTGTAAGCAGATATGAGGACATATAAGGTATCCGTAGATAGAACAGATAACCATAATTGGTAGGGCTGCACAACTGCGTAAATGCCCACCCTTTTAAGACAGGTACAACATGCTGCTGTTGTTCCTCACAGAATTGAAGGGCCCAAATAGCTTAGAGTACTCAGTGCATCTAAAGTCCTGTAGATAAACTAAGGGGATAAAAACACTCCCTCAAAATGTGTTGTGATGGTTTCTTCCTTTGGACATCTTCATAGTGACTGTTAAGGCTATTCCTCCAGTTGTGTTTTTAGGAGTTACTGACATGATGACTAAGCCCTTTGACAAGAAATGCAAAGTTAATGACAGCGACTTCATGCAGAGGCTCTGGCATAGGGGCCCCCTGAGCCCTTGGGCCCCTGGGGCTGGGCCTGGTAGGTCTGTTGGGTAATACACCCATGCTTTTAAGAGAAAAAAAGGCATTTATAAGATTCTTGGGCACTAAGTAAAAAGGAAAAAAGGAAATTATATTACTCATTAAGCATATTTATGCAGCATTGTTTAAAATAGAATAATAAACATGCAGTGGGACATCAAAAATTGTCATGGCAACATCATGTAAATTTATATGATGAGTACTGATTCATGTCACCCCCACACACCCACTCTCCCATTCCTTTTGTGATTCATTAGAATTTAGGAAGATATAAGTGGTAATAACTGCCATGATGAGGTCTGAATTCAGAAACAAACAGCCTTCCCTCAGTCTATAAACTATAAAGTCACAATAATTGATTCAAAAATAGTTTCTCGTTGTAAAGCAAAGCCAAAAGATGATAGAGAGATTTTCTTATTAACTAGAATTTCGTTTCTGTATCACGAGGGAGCAAACTTGTGAGTGGCAGATTGAGGAACGTAAAGCCAAGCTAGTTTCAGATTCATGAACTGGAGCATGATTACGTTTGCAGGCAGGCTGATCCTCACACACACACACACACACACAGACTCACACAAACACACCAGCACGCAGCCCCACACACACACGCGCATACACCTGGCTGTAGCCCAAGTCTAGCACACAATGCCATCCAGATGCACAGTGCAGATAGAACAGAGAGATCCAGCATGGTTCTGCCTGCCAAACAGCCGGGTGATACAGAGAGAGAGGGAGCGTGAGAGAGGAAGAGAGAGGGAGAAAGAGAGAGGTAAAGAGAACATAGAGAAAGTGAAGTTGAAAGGGAGGCCAGCGAAGAGATAGGAAAAGAACCTCAGGGGTTTTGGACCACCTGTCTGTACTGGCATGACCGCCGAATGACCTCCAAACATCTTCATGATGAGTAGAGAGAAGGGAGAGAGAGAAAGAAGGAAAGAAAGAAAGAAAATAAAACAAGAGAATGGAAGAAAGAGAATGGAAGAAAAAAAAAGTGGAAGAGTGCAAGAGGAAGAGAAAACGAGACAGCTGAAATCCCTCCATTTCATGAAGGGAAATTATCCTCAAAACAAAAGGCAATAACAAGCTTACGGAGCCGCCATAAAAATGAGAACAATAAACACTCAAATCATGTGTGTGTGTGTGTGTGTGTGTGTGTGTGTATTAGTGCATTTGTGTGTGCCCGTGTTTGTGGGATTGCGTGTGCATGCATGTGCTTTTACAGTATGTCTATGTGCACAAATAAGCAGTGTGCATATGTGTGTGCACGTGTTTTTGTAGGGCGACAATTAGAGTGATAATTTAGGACACAATAGCAGTCTGATGCACCGATGATAGTTCTCTGCAGAGTACAGCTGCTGGGTTGATTATCTGGGTTTCCTCCACACACACACACTAGTCATCCCTGCTTTAACTGAGAAGAGAGATCCATCTTGGAGGCTAAATTTGAGCAGTCGGGCAATAGACGCAATTGGGTGCAATATTTGTGTGTGTGTTTAAGATTGGACAGCTTCATCAGACCAGCGAGCAAGTTGAATACCTGACTCTTGGAGGCGGCCACCTTTGCAAACAGAGCCTGCGACACCTTGGCTCTCTTCATCTCGTGCTGTATCTCCTCGTAGATAGAGGCGCTGACGTTGAGAACACAACTGTCCGTCCTCAACCCTCTGTCTCCTGTAACTGGGGACAGTCGTGCCTAAAAGGAGGCAAACAAGAGGATAGAAAGACAAGCGAGCCACAGTGAACATCAAAGTAATGGGCATTTGCAGTGAATTGAGATGAACCCAGCGCAGAGCGAAGACTATTCCGGCTCGTCCAGACACTTTATAGTACTCGGAAATGGGAAGCTGCTGTCATTATGCAGCCGTAGGGGTGCTTATACAACAAGTGGGACAGTACATATCAAGATACAGGGGATACAATTGAATATATTGCAAAGCAAGGTGATATATTGCCTTTTTTTTTAATCTTATTTTAGTAAAACTGTTAAAATAAAAAGAACACACCACCATATGCATAAAAAAACTACACATTTGCATTTGTATTTTATCACAGTCCCTTTAAAATCCAACACTATAGCGCTACTTTTTGTGCAATCCAAGCAAAGTGATTAATATTTGCCTATATTAGTAAAAAAGAAAGAAAGAAAATACTTTTGAGAATCAGCACAGTATCACAAAAGCTAATATTTTGAGTCTGTCGGTATTTTCTCACACCCAATGCATGAACCAGTGTACATGATACACCCTTGAAGTGAAGCCCCTCCCTGGGAGGAGAAGCAGCTGGTAACTTTCATGTATATTAGAGGAAACATGTGGCTGGTGACTCCCTCAGTGGGGTGTAGTGCTCAGGGAGCTGCCCATACCAGATTAGGTGGGAAAAAATCAGTAGAGATGAAGTGATGAAAAAGAAACTATGAGGAAGGACTCATTAAAACATGACCAGAGAGGAGAGTGGTGAGGTCAGTCTGATGCTTATATCATCTCTCCTGCGCTGCTGTATTGAAAAATGGATAGCAGTAAAGAAAAAAATCCATGTAATATTTCTTTTCAGGCATCTGTTAGCAGGCAATCCCTTCATACTTTACTATTTTGATTTGCTAAAACAAGAAGGTCTGCAGCCATGCTAGCTGCTCTGTGAAGCTGTACTTGGACATGGCGTCAGCATGCTAACATGCTCACAGTGACAATGCTAACATGCTTATAATTAGTTGGGATGTTTATACCATGTTCACCACCTTAGTTTAGCCTGTTAGCATGATTATATTGGTTAATTAGCACTAAGGACAAAGTTGAGACTAGTGGTGATGTCATTATTTTGGGGGGTATTTGGTCAAAAACGAAAGTACAGCTCTGACTTAATGGTAGCATAAACAACTTAGGGATCACCTACTATACAATGAAACATACTGAGGGGCGTCTATACCAAATGCCTTGGCAATCTATCTGTAGCTGTTAAGACAGTTCACTTAAAACCACACACATCTCCCCCTTATTGTGCTTTCAGAGAAAAGGTCAGAGGTCAGTAAGCTTTTACAACTTCAGCACATTCACGCGTCCCTCTCATATATGTGAAATATTGTCTTTCATATCACTCGACGTATCCCATATATCAGTGCTGTTTCATGGGTAGAAACACATCAGTCAAAACATTTCACAGCAGCTTTGTGACACTGATTTTTGATTTCATCTCTCTGCTGACTGACCTGTGTGGATCTTGGTGGCGTGTTATTGCAGCTTGGGGTGAATCCAGTCAGGCTTCTGTCTTTCTCCTCCAGGTAGATGCGCTCCCTCTCGGCCTCGGGCAGCTGCAGGAAGCTGTACATGGCCCGCAGGTTGACCAGCAGAGACTGAGAGGCATGTTTAGGGTCCTCCTCCTTCCGCAGAATCTCCGACAGCAGGCCCTGGTAAAGGCACACATAAACTCAAATTGATACTCATCGATTTGTATAAGCAAATGATCCATGCATGTAATGTCAGATTCATTCAGACGTATTGGTGCAGATTTGCTTCAGATCAGTATTATGAGTGGCCTGCCTTCTCTCCACTATAATGGAACTAGATGGCACTCAGCTTGTGGAGCTCAAAGCACCAAAAAAAAAATGTCTCTTTTGAGAAATCAGAACCTGGTTAGTCAAGATAATCCACAGACCTTGCTGTGAGCAGTTTCATAGGAGCTACTGAACTACACCCGGCAACTGTATCACCGCGCAGAAGCGTGCATCTACTGCCAGCACATCTTGTTACGTTATATTAAAGAGAAGGCAGGCGGCCGATAAATCCAAAACTCGCAACTCACACCAAAACAATCTAGATTGATAAATAGCACTACAGGTAAGAGGAGAAATATGTATTTTTGAATTCGGGTTGAGCTGCCCCTTTAAGGCTGTAGTTAAGCCTTTGAGCAACAAATCATCTGTGCATTCATATAAAATATCCTAAAAGAAATATTTTCACTTGATTTTTACATTAAAATGGCTAATATAAAGATTCTTATACGCCTGAAGGAATTTTGAAAAGCTCCTCATATCCATCTCTGGATCTCATTCAATGAGGCACCTTATCAAGTTCCTGCAGTTTAGTGTTGCACAGCTATAGATGATACGGAGCCAGTTCTCAGCCTGTGCTAAGCGTGCTACTCGCCTGTAGAGCTAGCATTATTCTGGGTGTATCTGTGTATGCAGGAAAGCCTTCAAACATCACATGCAGATTGTGGGGCTTCCGTCCTGAAAGGAAATCAGATTTCACGCTGGCTGTAGAATGGAAAGAGAGGAAACAGCCTTCTTATTCAAATCATGGATCATCTTTGGATCCACCCAGCAAACCCCTCCTTCCAAATAGATGAAGGCTTTTACATGAATCGCAAAGTGACAAATGCTCCCCTCACTTCTATATGGCATCTTGGCACCATGCCTGACTTGTATGGCTGGCACCGAAGCACCTTGGACTTGGCAATGGGGAAACATGGGGGTGGATAATAACTCGCTCTGCTTATTGTGATGAAAATGATAATGATGGTAATAATAATAATAACAATGGGCTTAGCCTGTCCTCTGAGCCCCGTTTCTGTGGGTGTGGTGGTGAATGTAAGATGATAGACACGGATAACGTGGCATTTTAGTGTTAGAGGCGATGGCAGATGGAGATTTGGATAGGAAATGAGGACGACCAGTGGAAGCAAAAAAGGGGAAGATTAAAAAAAAAAGATGGATTGACAATCAGAGGTGGAGATTAAACAGATAGAAGGTGCTGCTGGAGTGAAAGGTGGCAAGATCGAGGGACAGTAAAACAGAAGAAGAGGTAGAGAGGGAGACAGCTTCTCTCCAAGGGGTTGTGATTAGTTGGCCCAGCAGCTGCTTCAGTGCTGGCACCAGCTTTGTGCTGCAGAGGGTTGGCACAAACACACACACAAATACACACACATACACACATGCATGGGGGGGGAGGGGGGCACTGCGGCAAAGGCCATGCCAATGTGCCAACCATCAAACACACATATACACAAAACACACTTACCTACAACCACAACACTAGAGAACTCTTCCAAAAGATAATCACCAGCAAACAGTAGCAACCTCTCATGAATTTCAACACCTTTCATGCAGATCACAGCCAGTCTCTCCATACCTGCGTCCTATTAAAGGCCACCCGCGCAAAGATGGCTTGGGAGATGCCTGCTCTCTTCAGTTCCTCCCTCACACAGTGGTAGATGTCATTTGGCACGTCTGTTGGCCCCACAAAAGACCCAGCCGATGTCTGTGTTTGCGGCCCGGCCACAGGGCCTCCCCCTGGGCCACACAGTGCCTGCTGCGGGCCTTGGGAATCAGCAGCTTTCGAGAAGACCTTGGCAGAAGGAGGTCTCCCTACAGGCGGGTGGTTGAGATACTGCTGCGGGGACGGTGAGAGACCCTGGCCTGCTAGCATGCGGCTAACAGCGTATTGCTGGTTGAGGAACTGCGCCATCACCAGCTGCTGGTTGACCATTTGAGAGCTGAGAGGCTGGGTTACCAACCCGGGAGGGCGCAGGCCGAGCGGGGGACGGCCACATATGTTGGCTACTTCTCCATGAGAGAAGAAAAGGGTGGAGCTTTGATCAGGCGGGCTACTTTTGATTGGCTGCTGGGTGAGGGTGATATGTGTGGACTGGTCAGAGAAGTTGTCAATCTCTGGGGTAGGAAGAAGAAAGCAAAGACAGATTTGTAATTATTGACACACTGAATATTAACAATGGGCCTCATGCAGGAAGCAATATCTGAACAAATGTTCTCTTATTTCTGTTTATATCCACTATCTGTTCTTATTTTGTCAGGACAAAATTTTCACAGCCCACATATTGTTTGTCCAATGCAAGGAAACACAAGTTTTAAATTTGACAAACATAAAAACACCTTATAACTTAATATAATATACAAAATCATTCAAATCAAATCTGTGGGATAAAGAAATACTAGCATACTTGGTCCATTGATCCCAGTTACTTTAATTTCAGTTACTGTGTGTCCCTCTGCTGACCAGTGCTGGAATGTAACAAAGTACATTTACTCAAGTACTGTATTGTGTATTATTTGATAACTTTAGTAACTAGTTGCTTTATAAATAAAGATTTTTACCAACAAAGCATATGAACATATACAAGTGGAGCTGAAACGCTGCATCGATTCATTAGAAAATTAACTGGCAACTATTTTCCTCATATATTAGGACTTGCTGCTTTTCCTTTGATTTATTAAATTATTTTGATTTATTAAAATAATTTCTGCATTGAGTACTTTTATTTTTAATAATTAGAATACATTTCCGGATTTTACTTACATGCAATCATAACACTGTCAGTCCAGGGCTTTTACTAGTAACAGAATATTTTTATTTATTTTTTGTTTTTACTAGTTTGACTTAAGTAAAGGAAATGAATGTTTCCTCCACCACTGCTGCCAACACTGCAGCATTACAAATGCTTTGCCACAGCTGAATTCTTAACACTCTGAACACTCTGAAAAATCACATTTACTTTGTTTAAGTTTATTTTACCAGTATTGCATAAGCTGTTTGTCTTCTTACAGACTTTTTTGGCGACATCTCTCCAATTCTTGGGCTTGTGCCAGAGTGTTTGCACACAGCACAACACCTGCCGTTATACAGTGTTTATGGGTGTTAGCTATGTTAATGGGTTAGTTATGATCAAGTGGGATTCATCATTGAGCACACCTGGGTCATAGCAGATTTGGGTGGTTATGGACGTTTGGTGCATCTGGAGCTGAATTTAGAGAAAATATAAATGAAATTTAATAGAATGATACAGCACGAGGCCCAATGTGTCCCAAATACGTACTAGACACTAATTCCAAGCAGGTTTTAAGTATGTCGTGTGTTCACACTGGAAAATGAAGTACTCTCAAACCAGACAGCATGCATATTAAATACAGTTGATTTTTGAGTGTGCTGCAGATGAACACTATTTTCCCACAATGCAATGCACAAATTAAACAGAGAGGCTTTTCACAGCTGGAAATTTTTAAATGAATTGTGGGTGGTAGTGAGATACCTCCAGAAACATCATGACGTCTGACGTCGTATGTGTAATTTCCTTTTAATGTGAAATGGTTAGTCTAAGTGCTGAAACAGTATATTAATACGTGGCATATACTGTATAGAGCGAGTATGGATTTGGGACATGCTGTAATACTTATGAGACACACTTATTGTTTGCAGGCTTGATTGAAATCCTCTCACCCTTGAAGCATTTGGTCTTCTTGAAGTGCTTGTACCATCGACCAAACTCGTGACACTTGGCAGCTGAGACATTTGCATAGTAAGTGCTATTTACAATAGATGATATCATGCTCTGAAACAGAGGGGAAAAGACAATAGAAATTCATTACATTTTCCGAGCTCCTGCTATGGGCGGCCTGGGTGTCTCAGCTGTTCACACATCTGATATTAATGAACTCAGATCTGTGTTATTAAAAAGACCCCCAGGTAAATAGGATAATAAAGACAGATGAGTGTGTCAGTGTGTGAGCTCTGCACGGGCGTGTATGTAGAGCATGCATGTGTGTGTGCATGCAATAAGACAAAACACTAGAGGTCATCAGAGACTATGCCTCTCTGTCTCACTCTCTCACTCACTAACACCCACAAACACACACACACACACACACACACACACACACAGTTTTTCCCTGAAGACCGTCATGTGCAATCTTTACATCTGATTACACCTTTCATCTTCTCATATTTATTTTAATCTGCTCCTTGCAAACAAGAGAGGGGGTAAAAGGAGTGATAGGAGAGAGGGAGAGAGATGGGGGAGGGAGGATTGAGTATCAGATCTGCAGAGAAGGAAGGAATCTGAAGGAGAGAGAGATAGTAGGCAATTTCTCTTTATCAAACTGTAGATGTCCTACGCACCCTCAGGCAAAATAACAGATAGACTAAGTTGATAATTATGAATATTTATTAAAAAAAAAGGCCTTCCCCAAATACTGCATGATTAATGTAAAATTATTTCTGCAGTTGTGTCTGTATTTGCCTGATTAAACGATCAAGATCTTAAAACCAGATTTGAATGTTATTGCTGAATCAGTCAAGAGTGTGGGAAGAAAAAGCTAAATACCAACGAGGAAGAATGATGGGGAAATAGAGTGAGTGAGAGTAAGACAGTGGGCGAGGCCGACACACAGACAGACGGAGAGAGTGACATGCAGACAGGTTGGCAGTGGAAAGAATCAAGATAGGCAGCAGCCCTGGCAGGAAGGCTTTTTAAGAGATAGCCATCTCTCTTTATCTGTTTCTCTTGTGCGCTCTGCCCCCATACCTTATCTACCTCTGCATCTGGACTTCCTGTCTGACTATTGGACCACACGCTTACTCTGCCTCATGCGTCAAAGTAGGCAAAAACACACACACACACATTTGCAGGCTATGGAAGGGCAAAGGCAGTACATGCACACATTGAACTTCAGTCTAGTCAGTGTCTTCTGTACCTGGGACAGGGGGCACTCCTTGGCCAGGGAGCTCTGGTTCATGTCCTTGAGGAGCTCCTTCAGAGCGTTTCTCACCGTGGAGTGACTCCACTGCTCGGGTGGCAATTCCTCCAGTTTGGGACAGCTGGACACAGAGCAAATTAAAAAACACTTGAACTCCAGCGTTTTGATATATATATATATATTACAGTTTAAAGGGTAGTCCTGTGATTTAGTAGCCTGGCATCTCCAGACCAATTCACAATTGCAAGTTAGTCTGGAACCTGTCGTTTCATTTTCGATTTCCAAGGGATGTTGTCAATGGCTGTAAATCAGAATGCCAACTGGATAGATCTACAACCAACCAGAGCAATGAAGCATGACGTTTAAATATAAACAGAGTACACTATACAGAGTTGAGCGTCACCATGTTCGTGAACAAGTGTTGCTGTTTTTGCCATCACAATTTGAAAATAGTACTTCACCACAAAGTTTCACGTCAGCTGCAGCCATCTTGGCACTCCTTTTTACTAAGTTAGGTTTATGCTCGCCGTTGTATCAGACTTGCCCCATATTAGGTAAACAGTTCTGATTGGCCTGAAGCGATCCAGGTTAGGTAGAAATCTGTTTTAAATGGGGGGCGGGAGCAAATAAAGTGCTTGCAGGTTCATCCAGTGCTTTGCACTTCCATACAGTTGGGGAACACAATCGACAACCTGACTTGTAGTACCCACTATGATCTAAACCCCCAAGAGACGCTGGATTCCACAAGTCCCATAATGTCATTTAATGGCATCATTCATCAGACCTTGATGACATCATTAGGGTCATTTTCTCAGACTGAAGATAGCTTCCTTCACAGCCGCAGAAGACGTACAACTGTTTTTACAGGCTGAGTCGTACTTCTTGTGATAAGTAAACTCAACTTGATGTGTAAACTCAGTGGAGTGCCACTTTAAAAATAAGTCATCCCCAAGATGTCTTTACTTGCTTATACAGAGCCTCTCCCAGCATGCACTGGCTGATGTGCGGGAAGACCCCAAACAAGTTTCTAGTCTAAAACGCACACTTTCAAGCATGGGATCAAAGGCTGGGCCGTGGGGCAATAAACTGAAAGCGCTTAATAAATTAATTCAGCAAACAAACTTACATAAGCACAGGGAAAACATACATGATGCCATTTCCTTTGTGAACCAACAGGCCTTTTTTACAGAAGACACACTGGCATGTCACATTAGGAAAAGCACAGTCTCAGGTGTAAATGATGAAATTAATGACATCTGAATTCCATTTAGCTGCTTCCATCATTAGCCATTGTTAATGTCATTAGTAACACCTGTCTTTTTTCTTTCTTTTCTCCTGTGCAAAGGTTTATGGTTCAATTTGTTTGTCCTACTACTGCCCAACTTCCATGAAACTTGGTAGAAGTGTGTAGCATGGGCCAAGGAAGATCCCATTACATTTTGGAGTGGATCTGATTCACTTGGTGGATATTTTTTATTCATTTTATTTCACTTTTATTACACTGTGATATAGGACATTTGGCCTCAGTGGCGGTGTGCGCTCTCCGAGTGCTCTTCTAGTTGTATTTTGTGATATTAATTATGCTGCGCTTTCCTGACTCTCATGGTGGATCTGCCCCAATATGTAGCCTAACTAAAGGGCCACTGTAAGAAAATGGGACATTGTTTTTTTAGAAATGTTACACAAGGAAATAACTTTTTATTTCTTACACCATTAAAATGCTCATCAATATTTATTGCAACAAGCAACTAAAGTCACTCGTGAATCTAAAGGCATTCAGATAAGATAAAAAAATAAGAGTTTCATCATTTCCTGCTGGGTCTGATTTGGTGCGTGCCCTTTGGTTATTTTATTTTCTTAATACAAATTAGAGAATGTGGGTGGCTGGAGTCATGCACTGTGTGACAGGCTGAGAAATCCTCCACCTGCTTCACACTCAGGATCATATTCACAGTGGATATTTTAGAGCCTGTAGACTCCACACAGACGAGAAATAGAAGCTGACTGTTACTGTAGACATATTTATAGATGTGATGTCAGCTTCCTACCTGTGCAGCTGTATTTTAAGGGTGATAACGTGGTGAACATCCTGCAGCATATCAGCCACGGTGGCATCAGGAGCGTCTGTCACACAGGACAGAGGCACTGGGTTCCACCTGCCCACCTGGATCAGACCTGAACACAGACACACGAAAGGGAAAATCATGAGAAAACAACAGACCCATGTCCTTGCTTGTCTGTGAAAGTCTGAGTAATATACCTTTGGCCTGTGCGGCAGAGCTGTGTGAGTAGCCCAGTGTCAACAGTGCCATCTCTATGAGCTGATTAAACAGCAGATCTCTCTTGACCAACACAAACTCGGCATGTTCTTCTCTCTTCTCTCCCTCCTGGGGGGTTTCCTTGTGCTCCACAACACAGAACACCGGCAGCAGGCTCCCTGAGGTGATGGACAGACAGTTTTTAGACACATCGGCTGATAGGATTCCTAGTAATTCTACAAAAGACCCAGTCTGTACTATCATGCTCAAGCCCTTGTACCTCTGCTGTGCCAGCTCTTGCTCTGTGGTCTCACTGCGGTGGGTTTCTGGGCCAGGCAGGGGTTTTTAGCCACAGGACTCCCCTGACAGCTCCTCTCCTGGGCCGAGGGTCCCGCTCCGTTTTGTTCCAGTCGAGCCAGCTTGGCAGGAGGCGGTCGGGGGTCTACAACGGGATCACTGCCCTCAGGTTTCTTGGCTCCATTACACAGGGCGTCCATCTGCGGTCTCACACTGATACAGAGACACAGACACTTAAAAATCAAACAGTGTGTGAGGTATCCTAATAAAAAACACTCATGATATCTTGGTAGTATGTCTGTGGTGGTGATCTGCATGTAGTGAGTTTATAGTAACCTCATATTTTGTTCCTAGAGAGTATTACATAGATTTTAAAGTAACTTTTGCAATGACATAGTGTCTTCTTTTAAATGTTTTCATCAGGGTAGAATAGGCTACATGCGTCCATAATGTCTAGACAGTAAATAAATAACAGCCTAGTTAAATACAGCAAGAATCTGGAAACCTGGTGAGCGTCTTTTACACTTCTCTGTCTAACAAGAAACTAGAAAGCATAATTGTGACACACACGTACACACACACACACTGAGATCTGAAGGATATCCGGATCAGTAATAGTGGATGACCTTCACCCAGATGCAGCGATTAGTATAACCCTCTAAATCCAGTAAAAGTCCAGTGAATGATAGAGCGCGGTTTCCCATAATGAACCTGCTGTCATCTCCAGGCGCGCCGCTGTAAGCGACAGTGATTCAGTTCATCTTCGGCACCTAAATGCGCGCTAATCGTCCCACGTCTGATTCTGCTGAAGTTTGATCGAGGCGAAACCAACCTGTTTCAGTCGGCACAACGTGCATGTCCGACTTGCCATCACACATCCACAGCCCGATCCCGTAGACATCGGCCGTATCCATATGTTATCCTCGCTTCCATTGATCTCCAGTTTAGGAGCAGACCCGTTTCTCTTGGCTGTCGGTATGCGTCCTCTCCCTCACATTAACCGTCTCTTTATCATCGGCATTGTCTCGTGTTTACTGTCCAAGTAGTTTTGCCTCTATCTACCTATCCCTCCTTGTTCTTTCCGGTGTAACGATATATTGGCCTTAGCGCAAGTTGAGAGCGACCTCCCATCCAGAGCACCGGGACATGCTGCTACTGTGGATCAGGCTCCAGAGAGAACAATACACGGCTGGGAGCTCCTGGAGTGCATCCCCTATCATATATTAGGCTCCAGCACTGACTCCGGGACAGCAGTTGTTGGTTGCACTTCAAAGCCCTCTGCGCACGCGAGGAGAGAGACAGAGAGGCAGAGGGGAGAGAGAGAGAGAGAGAGAGAGAGAGAGAGACTCACACACACCCACACACACAGACTCATAAATACGCGGACCCAGCTGCATTAGCATATGGTGTAATAATGAATTCACTAGCGCGCTCCGTAAATGTATTAAATGTGACAATTGCGCATAAATCTATTTATTATTTTCTGCCGCATGCTGTGCACGCACTTATTATTGTCTTTAGGGTATTGGAGCTCTCCATGGTAACAAAGTGGAGCAGGACAAGGAGAAACTGGCTGACTGATATTAACTTTTGAACGCTGATGTTTCATTGTCACAAGATTATGATTTATATGCAGATAATTACAGTCTTAACTCCATGCAACCAAGAATATACTCTATACCTATATCCAATTACAGTAATATAGTATGTTGGATATGTTATAGTAGCCTACAATACTATAGTATTTTGCAGTAGCTTATGAAATACTATACTGTATACTATACTACTATACTGCTATACTATACTATAGTGTACTATAGCCTACTATATGGTGACACTACTTTGAGATATTTTACAGTGTGATTTCAATAAGTTAAATTATTAGAGTCAAATTCTGAAATCAATTTCAGAATAATTTCTCACTTTATCTTTCTGTCTAAAGTAATTCTAGAATAGTACAGTACAGTACAGTATCGTATCGTATCGTATCGTATCGTATCATATCTTATAGCACAGCATAGCATGGTAGCTATAAAGTTGCTGAGATACGCTTCTAAAATATTCTGTACAGTATAAACTTATGATATAGTATATATAGTATGGTATAGTATACAGTAGATGTATAGTATGTTACAATATAGATGCACTATACTCAGAACATAACATGCTATGGAGTATTACATATATAGGGCAATTATGTTGTTGTGTAGGACAATATAAGCTACTACATTATTCTACTATGCTATACTATACTATACTTTACTATACTATACTATACTATACTATACTGGCAGTACTAGCCTATATAGGCGTATACTAGTATAGTATTGTGCAGTATAACATAGTGTAGTAGAGTTTAGTATTGTGTATGGTAGTATATCTTATAGCAGTGGTTCCCAACTGGGTCCAGATTTCTCTGCAATTATTAGTTCAGGATCCACACAGTTTAATGTTTTATGCATCATACATGCGTTTGGCCATGTGATCAAGCTAGTCTGCTGTCTGTTTTAGGTAGCTGCCATTATTCACTCACTCTGCAGAAGGAAACAGCACTTCAATTTAAAAGGTCTGTGCTGTAAATTCACTGTGCTACAAAATAAAGTTTTTACAAACTTGACACATTTGCCAGTCAGTTGTGGTCCATTCAGGATGGACAGGCAACCCACTTTTGGACTGCGACCCATCAGTTGGGAACCACTATCCTGTAGTAAGGGCTGCTGTGCCACTACAATATATTGTGCATGTACAATACAATACAATGTAATACTATACTATTCTTTAAGAAATATGGACCTATAATCCTATGCATAGCTATCTATGCATAGCATAGTATATTATAGTATAGTATTGTATCGTATCGTATCGTAGTATAGTGTAGTATAGTATAGTATAGTACAGGACAGTATATCCTATAGTAAGGGGTGCTGTACCACTACAATATATCATGCATTTACAATACAATACAATTGGATACTATATTTACACAGGGTAGGGTAGTGTAGTGTAGTTCAATAAAGTATAGTGTTGTGTAGTGTGGTGTAGTATGGTATAGAGTAGTGTAGGGTGTAGCGTAGTGTGGTGTAGTGTAATTTAGTGTACTATAGTATAGTATAGTAGAATATTGTAGTAGCTTATATTGTCCTACACAACAACATAGTTGCCCTATGCTATATGTAATACTCCCATATATATACCGTTATACTATAGTATAGTAGGCTATAAATGACCATAGGGCATATAATACTACTAAGTATAGCATGTTATGTTCTGAGTATAGTACATATACATCTATACTATACTATACTATACTATACTATTGCACTACAGTAGCCTACAATAGGCTATATCTGTTAGTATATGTATATAGTACTGTACTACCAGTAAAGTATAGTAAATTAT